GAAGCAAAACAAGGGGCCATCTCAGCATTTGCTCGAGGATCAGGGAAACTGGACGAAAACCTGATCGTGATGGGGACCATTGACCCCGATGTTAAAGTACAATACTCATTACAGGTTCTTTACAATTTACAATCCAAATAGTATATAATACATTAAATTTCATTGTTAGAATTAATATTACTTTCCTTTTGGATGCATGATATAGTCTCTAATTGTATAGAAACAGTTGTGCAGCAGAAATTATTTTACTTGGCACTTAAACTTTTGTATTGAATTTAACCGTTTAATGTCATTTGGCAACATATAAAATAATGTACATGTATTATATGTGATTTTTTTAGTGAGCTGTTTATACTGTCACCTGATGAATATGACTACTACGTCGAGTGTTGTAGTTATAGACAACAAATTTTCTGAAAATATATTCCCGCCCTTAAGTAAGTCATTTTTAACAACAACCACTTATTCATATAATAAGAGAAAAGGTAATGGTAAAATACCTAGATTAATAAAGAGATGCTTACAAGTATCAAGTGGGTGGGATTTGCTTATTATTCGGACAATTCTTTTTTGTAATCTAAAAGTCTGGGAACTATAAGATGTATTTTCCCAGAATAGTATGCCGTATCTCAGGCGAGAATAAACATTCGCGAAAGATTCACAACGAGCAGTGAATTTGAAAGAATTCTGAAAGCGTAGCATAAAGAACTTAATTTAGTGTTCAATTCATTTAAATGGACGTTCCATTTAAGGTTTGACTGAACTGAAAAACCAATTTTTTTTATATTTTCATCAGTCAATGGCACACCGTTTATTTTCAGTGAAGTGCAGAGCTGTTTATTTGAAATGGAAAAACTGCATTTAAACAGTTTCATTTTCATTTACTATTAATTTGTTATTACGGAACCAAATTGAAATATCTGCTATTGTACTATTTACGGTTTCTTTATTTCAAAAAATATTCGTATCATCCGCAAAGAGAACTGTTCTTCCGTTTCTAATTGTTGAGGACATATCGTTTACGTACAGCAGGAAGAGAATAGGGCCTAAAATCGATCCCTGTGGGACTCCACAAGCAATTAGCAAAGAATCAGAAAGGTGTGTACATAATGTTCCATTATTCCAGTAAGGTTATTCTACTCTGTGGGTAGCTTGAATCGCTGTTTAATGTGTGAACATAACCAATACATGGATGAGGCGACATCTTTAAGAAAATAAAATATGTCTGTTTCCGTAGATTTTGATTTTCGAAACCCATCTCGGCAATCTGAAAACACGCCGTGTTTACTAAGAAATGTTCAAGTAAAACACATATTTTGTTGAAGTTCACAAATGGCATAATATAAATTAGTTTCCCTTATTTCCTGATTTTAATGCGAAAAGAGATATTCTTAACGGAGGTCTCTTTCTGCCTCAACGTTTGGAAAATAAGCGTGACATGTTTACTAACAGACTTATACTTTCGTGTTTTTTTCTGTCCGTCGTTTTGTTCGTGTTTTACGCCCTCGATATAACAGAAATCCCCTTAATAATAATTTTCTCAACAAATGTTAAATCTTAATTTTAATAATGCTATAAAATGCCTTGTTACCAAAACGCGATTTAAAAAAAGTGCCTAATTCTACCATCACAAAAAATAAGGTAGAAAGTACATTGAAATATTACAAAAGCCTTACCAATGGTACGAGAAAGTTTGTACAGTTGGAGCTCCACTAGTTTTTAAAAGAGAAAAGAGGCAATTACTGATTATAACTTATTCAAAACCAAGTTAGTGTCTTAAAGGAAGATAATTAAAGAAACTGATTTGTTTCTGCTATTCAATATTATTAATAAGGGAATTTGATTTCGTCCCGTCATTTTTCACGAGTTATCCCAATTTTGTAATAATTCGTCCACAATTCATTTCGCAGTGCGCCCACCAACGGCGAAAACCCGACGCCACGACTTAGATGTGCATGGATGTTATAAAAACTGTTTATTCCTTGGCTGTAGTAGGACATGCTAGAAGATAGTCCTTATAATACTCTCTGATAGACAGTCGGGAACTACAGAGTGCGGTAGTGTGTTATTGTTGAGTTTGTGTTTAGGATGGCGTCTGGGACCACTTATTGTGTTTGTGGACAGCCGTATGATCCCAGACAATTTATGATACAGTGTGATAGTTGTCGAGAATGGTATCATGGGAGGTACGTGTATAAATCTACTGCAATAATTGGGATCACTTTGTATTGTAACTTTTTGTATAACTTCTCTTGGAATGTGACATCTTGCAGACGTACTTTTTGAAGTTTTCTGCTTCTACATTCGGAAAATAAGCGTGACAAGTTTATTAACTGTGTTAAACTCTTGATTTTTTCTGTCCGTTGTATTTTCCATGTTTTACGCTCTCGATATAAACCAAAATTCTTACTGTAATATGGCACCATTTGGATGACATAACCTGCAAGTGAGATGCATTGTAAATGTTATGACAAGTAGATCGAGAACGCAATTGTCAACATAATCCAAATTTTTTGTGCGTGTATGTTATTCTGTATGCTATTGTGTTCTCAATATGTGTGTTGGTTGAATTTTCCAAATTCCATTTGACATTTCTATGATGTGAGATTTCATTGTGTATTTTCTTCTTACATGACTTGTTTTACTTTTCACACTGATAATTCTAGGAATTCATGACAGCGAATAGAGACTTCACATCTTATGTAAAGATTTGTGATGGTTTGAATTTAAAGGATATTTGCCGTGTTATTTTATTTTCAAATATTTAATTAAAATGTCTTTTGGAGTGGTTATTTGTACATATATCATAAGAAGTATAGTTGTCTTGTTTCCTATTATTGTCACATATTTCAGATTATTTGTAAGCTTTAAAGCATCAAAATGTTAAAGCGGTAACTAAAATTTACTAACATCTTTACGGAGTAGTTTACTTAACCCTGGGGAAGTGTTCAAGGCCCGTCATTTTTAGCTGTGGCTAGTTCAGTTTGTTGTAATTGTCTTTCTTGAACATGAATGTTAGTACTGACACTTACTGTTCTGAAGAGTAATGAGCAAATGCTGTTTTAATCAAATAATATTATTAGATTTCATTTACAAATTTATGGAGAGTTATCAAATAAATTGATCCTTTTCAATTCCAAGATATCAATATCTCACATTCATTCATTATTTCAAAATTTTGTTGTTGTTACTGGTTTGTTTTGTTATCTTTCATTGGTTTTGTATTTTTTCAACTTTGCAGTTGTGTAAGAGGTTTGTAAATTGCTACTTACAAGTTTGAAATTGGTTTGGTTCCGAGTTTGCTGACTGTAGTACTTTATCCTGGATATTTCATTTTTCTTACTTATTGTGAAAACATATCAATTGTATATATTTAATGACAAGTTTGTTTCTTTATATGTGTTAAAATTATTTTTTTAAATTTTGGATTAATAAGAAAATTGTCAGTTATGAATTTTCTGATTGGTAATATGTGGCAAAAACATAATATATATGTTAACCAGTTTACTATGGTTTCACAGGTCAACTATTATTTTATTAATGTGAAAAAGAAAATTTTGTAGATCTTAGTAGAAAAAATAAAATTTGAAATTTTGTTGAAAAGGGTCATAGTATTTTCTTTTGAAATGCCCATTGTTGTTACTTCAGGACCTGTTATAGTTATTCCAAAAATCTTTTTCCAAACCACTCTCAGAAAAAAACAAAATAACAACTAGCAAAGAAATTAATGATAATGTAAAAATATAAATTTCTTTCAGAAGTACCTAGTCTTTATCTTAATTATGCTTAAAAATTCTTATGAAACTGGTACATTTTATTGCAAGAAATGAGTTTTATTAAAAATGTTAATGATTTTAATCTTGTTTAGAGGTTAAGGATTGCGTTGAGAAAGAAATTGTTCTCAAGAAATTCGGTTCACACATTTGAAATATTAAAGAAAACGAAATATATCAATGATTGGCAAATGAGTGTCGCTTTCGTTACAAGTAATTTGTTTCAGTGAAATGTTAAACATAATTATGTAGATTTCTTTTGTAGTGCGACTTAAATAATAGACAATTATTTAATTATTACAAATTGTTGAATAATAAATATATCCCTGAACTATAAAAATCAACAAATTGTTTCCGAGGGCATTACATTGATTAGCATGTCAGTAAAAAATAGGTTTCAGAAATTCATATTCATTTTTTGTAGTAAAAAAGTTAATCAATATTGAAAGAAAAATAAATTTATCTAGATGAGGAAAATTTCCTTCGTTATGAATTGTTTGTATTTAGCTTTGCTTACCATTTCTCTGAAACAAATTAAGTGTGAAAGACTTTTTTTCCTGTGTCAATGTTGCAACTTAGATAATATATGAAGGTAGACTAATATCCATTTATGTAGTTCTAACAGTCCTAGCTGCAGGTGTTTCCTTATAAAAATAACATTGTGGTGATGTTTTGTAATGTAGTAAGTGACAGAAGACCTGTATTTTTGTATTGTAAATATTTGTGTTTCACAAAATGTTGAATTAGACTAGTTTTCATAACAAATAATTTGAAAACATTTTCTCATTATAAGTTACTTTTGTATGCAAACTGGGAGTGACATTTTTTACTTTTAACATGCATACATTTCCTTCCTTATATTTGTAAGAGTTTGTAATATTGGTTTAGTTCGTTGAATTCTTCTGCTGTAATTATTACTAATTATTATTTGAAGACACTTTTTACAAGCCTCGAAATTCTGTAATTTGAAATTTTTTTCTCTTTACTATGTACTTATTGCTTATTACCAGGGTTCGGATTCCGATGACCTGAAAATTCTTTGAAAATGATCTATAAAATGACAAAATTAAGGGGAAAATTACCTATGAAATGACTTAAAAATAAGGCGGAAATGACCTTTTTAAAAAAAAGATACTAAAAAAATTTGTTTCAAAATGTTTATTATTTAATGAATTTTATAATTTTCAATAAGTTTTTTATATCAAATTATACGTAATATAAAGTCTTTATTGAAGGAAAAAATGTATTTCGTAGCTTCAATCTTTCAACCCCCAGTTGTGAAGGATAGAGGAAGTCCCCAAAGCTCCATTTAATTTTAGTATTCAAACAACAAACTTCACTGCGATAGTGAATTTTGTTATGAATTGATGATGCAATAAAAACTTCCTTTTAGTTTTTCATTCTTTTTAGATTTGCAAAACATCCCCTAACAAAAACTCGAGAAGGAAACAAAATGCGTAAAAATGACGCAAGGGAAAAAAAAACAAACTAAAAAGTGACAAAAAATATCACAATAAATGTGTATTTCTATCACCTATAAATCATAATAAACATTCCTTTAAAAGTTACCTACATCTAGAATACACCAAATAAAAGACATGTCATCAGAATCCGAGCCTTGCTTATTACTCGTTTGGTGACTTATATTTCTGTTTATTATTTTTCTGATGGCAAGGATTTTCTTTCATTCTTGTTTTATTGATCTTGGTATGTTGATGAGGTTTTCCAAATCAAGATCCATTTTTATTTGCATTTTGTTAGAAAATCGTTATTTGAAAGGTCTTGATATTTATTGAAAGGGTCAAGATGATTGTTCTCTTGGTTTCTGAATATGTATTTATCCTCACTCTTTTTCCCAAACACTCACTCTTTCTGTTTTTATCTTTTAAACTATGATAAACCAACTTCGATAATTGATTTAATTGATATTGAAATTTGCAGTCTGTATCCAAACTGTTTGTTCATTTTGTGTATTTTTCGTGACTTCATTGCAATGATAACTGCAAATGTACATTGCAATTATTACTTTCTTGCACTTACTTTGTAAGAAGAGACAGGTGTGTTATCGTGCGCCAGAAAACGGTGAATTTTCGAAAGAAAAAACTCTTATTGCCGGGCCCTGGTAACAAAAAAGTGGACAAATCCTGTTGATTTGAATTAACTTGAGACTTCGGGAGTTTCGAACAGATATTTTGATTTGATGGTATTTTACATGGAACCTCAAAAATTTTCTCAAAAATGGTATCAATTAATAATAAAAGGTTTAACTTTGTCGGTGGATAGTATATACGCTGCTTAAAAGAATGGTCCAGTTCCCCTCAAGTGCAATTTTTTGGGGATGTCCTCCTACAACTGTAATATTGAAGATAGAATTTTTTTTCTTAGTGAAATCTGTTCCTTAAAGACAGATCTTCAAATAAATTTGATCAATTTTTCGAAAATATGAGTTTTTGTGTAAATTTGTGCAAAATATTTGCAAATTGAAAAATGAATGAACTTTTTTCTCAAAAACTGCCCAAAATTTCTCTTTAAATTTTGTCCTTGTATGTAAAAACATATGGTGCTAGACCCATCAGCGAATTTTCCACATCTTTTTCGAAAATTGCAAGAAGTTAACATTTCAAAAATACAAAATTGAAGATAGAGATTTTTGCCTTCGACATTGTCTGTTGTAAAAAATCAGCTTCGTAAAATAGGGCATGTACAATTTTTTGATACACATGTAGTTTTCGCACATGAAATTCATGCAATTCCCCCCCCCCTACCCCTAATGTTTTAAATAACTGCTCCAATTTTTTTCTTTCAATTATTGCCACAGATACTGGAAGGGAGGCTTAAATGAATGGCATGGGTGTCATTTTCGCTTAACACTGAATTTTCAAAAATAGCAAATGTAGAAAAGAAAGTGAGACAGTATGTGTTATTGAGCACTACTAGTTCTTGACTGCATTAGAGTATTGCATTTTTAATAGATACATTCGTTTGTTTTGAAAGATTTTTATAATCTAATTTAATAAAAACCTTAACTTGTGATAAGACATGTTCATTTATTTATGATGAACAATCGGTAAAAATGCGCAAGAATAATTTGTGATTATACAAGCCTGTCAATTGCAAAGAAGTTTGCAGTTTGAGCTAGGTGAATTTGTTATCATCCTTGTTCTCGAGTGAGGTTCTTCAATATTCTGTATGTTTTGAGTTTTACTACGACTGTTGAAAGTTGTTTTTTTTTTTTATAAAACTTTCCCCTCCAAAACAAAATTTATTCATGCAAGTGTCGCTATTATAACAATAATGATCAGTCTCTAGGAATTATAAATAATCATTAAAAGATATTAAGTAATATAAAAAAGTATTGCCTGATCATTGTAAATAATGGCTTATTGTGTATTATTTAAATGAACTTTGTATTTCTTTAGCACCACTTCATTAAAGGCTAGTGATGCAAAAAATATTCATGTTTTATTAAAATGTTCATTTCAAATTCATATGAGTAATAACTGTCTTGTACTTGTTGCAGTTGTGTTAAGGTGCAAGAAGTTATATCTAAAGAGTTGGACCGATACCATTGCCCAGCATGCGCTCCAACCTTTGGGCCAAGTCGCTGTAAGTGTTTCAGATTGTTATATGTTAAATTTTATTTGTATATTAAGAATTAAGACTTGTATTTTAATAAAGAATTAAGTTTTATTTAATTATACAATTGTGAATAGTTTGTGGGCATGCTAAGTGATTCTTCCACTACTAATTTTTTAATAATTTTCACATGTTCTCCTTTATTATATATTTCATGATTTACAAGTCTGACTTACAAATTATGTTACAGGTAAACCAAGAACCAACTGGCATCGTCAAAATGCCAGTGAACCAGATGCAGAGAATAAGCCTGTTCAAACTGGCACACCTGTTTTTGTGGACGAGTTGAAATCAAGACATTTTGCTGTGTATGAGTACACAAGATACTTTAAACTATTCTAGAATTAGCATTTTGTCTTTTAAGAAATAATGTAGGCCTTGGAAAAAAAAAATACTTTAAAACATTACATTCAGAAACTGCTTGACAATTTATTTAAAAGTAGATTAAAATAAATTTATGGATGAACACTTTGAGTATTGGTCAATTATACTTTCTCGTATACTACTAAATAGTATAGAGAAAGTTGTGTAATGCTGCAGGAAAAATGCGATATTACGGCAGAAAAATACATTTTGTGATCCTAGATGCAAAAAACAGTAGATTTTTCTTGCACCTCTAATAACTTTTTTATCTTCTTAATAACATACATCTTCTATGTGAAATATTGTCAAAATCCATGTTGTTGGTCCTTGGTACCTAAAGCGTTTTTTTTTTTACTTTCTCGTATATGGAGTAATATACATAGTATAGAGAAAGTTATGTAATGCTGCGGAAAATCAATTTCGAGATTTTAACGGAAATACATGTTTTGGGGTCCCCTGAAAAAATGTTTTTTTTTAAATGTCAGTCTATCTCTGTGAACACCACTAACACCTAAAACATATGTGGGATTTTGTCCAAAATGGATATTCCCCTATCGATCTGGCTCGACTTAAAGCTATGGGATTTTGAAAAACATTCTTTAAATATTTGGGGATACTTTACATGAAGCCCCTGGAACATTTTCAAAATTTTCTCAAAAACTTAATGTGAATTATGTAAATTTTTCATTAATACACACATTTGCAGTAATTTGTAAACATTTTTGGATTTGTAAGTGTAAGTGCTTCAAATGAAGTTTTTCGAAAGCCAAAATGTTTTCTGTGCAAGAGAGTTTCAAACTTCGCATTTACAGAGATACTTAAACACCACTTTCCTGAAAACAACTCCAAATTGTTCATCAATGATTGCTGTATTGGACAAGATTTTACTCTTCTTTAATATTCGTTAAGTAATATTTCGGTTCTATGATTAGAAAATTGAAAAATTGAGTAAGTTAAAAAAAGGCCATCAGTAGATAGCAGCAGGCAAGAGTATGTGACAAGTCCGAAAAGCTAGCCCAGACCAAAAAAAATTAGAAAACTAATATGAGAAAATCTGTGCCATCCTGTAGCACCAGTGTTTCTGTGTGAACACGATTGCCTAAAACTGGATCTACTATCAAAAATTGATATTCCTATTCAATCTCTGTGATGTTGACCCCTTAATTTCAAATGGATGTTTTAATTTTAGGGGATTCTTTATATGATTCTTCTAGGACTTTTTCAATGACTTCTCAATAATTGCTGCAGAATTTTTCTTTACATTTTTTTAATGAAATCTTCAAAATTAGTTTTTAAATAATAATATTGCAATTCTTTTAAATATTACTTTAAAAAAATGGAGTGAAAACATGACAGTATAGAAAAATATGTAAACAAGATTTCCTTAAAAATGGTTCTAGATTTTTCTTTAAATTTTGTGCTTGAATAATAGCCAAGTTTGCTTAATAATGTGGAACAAGTTTGATTTTCATGAAAATCCCTGTAATTTTGAATCGCAAAAGTTCAACTTCATAATTTTTTTGTGTATAGGAAACACTTTGGCAGGTTCAATTACTATGCTGATATTGCCTTTCATATTATATCACACACAAAGTTTTTTTTTTCAAAATTTGGCTCAGAAAAAAAATAATAAGATACAATTTAGAAAAACAAATGATATCATCGAATTTAGATGAATGATTTACACAAATAAAATACCACTGAATATGTGCATTTATATAAAATTAATAACATCAGATTAAGTAACTGTTACAGATGACAGGAGAAAATATGTTCCATTGTAGCAGTAGTAGTTAACTCTAGTTTCTCCAATTCAAACGATTTCTTCCAGCACCTTTCATCAGCGCTTGCTATTTTTGTCTTGATTTTCTTGGATAACCTACTCAAGAATACTTTGTAATCTGTTTCTTGCATTAAAACCAATCTTGAAGTTACCTCTTCAAGTATAAAAGATTATGCATTGCATTATATCGATGAAAACAATGAGGTTTATTTTAGCATTTGAAAATCCTTTAAACACATTTATTACATTTTACTATTATTTCAACAGATAAGCATATAAAGTTTCTTATATTTACTTCCATTGCATTTACTTTGTTTAAACAAATAATAAAATGTTATTAAAATGATGTATTGATTTTTAACAATGAGAAATACTTTTTTCTTGGGTAGAGTTGGAAGTGGGTGAACCCTCTAACATAATGTTACTTTCCACATATTTACATGACAGAAGGCTAAGCTAAAAGCACTTTTAAGCTGCCTGGACCATGATATGAAGAATAAAAGCAGACCAATAATAAGGAAAGTTGTGTCATATTAAGAGCATAGTGTTCCGAGAGAAAATAAGTTTCTCTTTTATATACTCTTAGGGCCTTCTAGCCAGAAATATGTATACATATACAACGGTTGAGGCATAAGTCATGGCAACTTTTTTGTGTGCAAGTTGTTTCATATTCCAAAGCATTTTAGCATATACATTCCAAAATCTTTACATACTTGTTCTAAATGCCTTATTAGGCAGATAATCGATTACCATTCGTGTCACATCAATCTACACACTCGCAGGTCATCACATGCATTACTGATCCCTGGTTCCTAAATGTCCTCGCAGAAACACTTCTGCCCATCCTGTGACTCCAATACAGAAGGGCATTATTTCCAAGAGCTTTGACAAATTCTCTGTGACGTTCTCAGACATTTTTCCTATGGAGAACAGCTATCATTGTGTACGAGTGCTGCTCGATCAAGTTATATTTATCTCTCATGGCAGCAGTCAGGCAACTAATTTCACATTACTCTCTGTGCTAAGAAACACTCACAGAGCCATTTGTCGTGATTAGTGCTGTAATTCTTTCATGCAACAAATAAAATGGTTTGATCTGATATCATTTCTTTTACAATAAAATTATCACCATGACTGCTATCCCAATCCTTGTACAAATGTTTTTTCTGACTGGGAGGCCCGAGGGTTAGTCAGTGGAACTAGCTGTATAATAAAAACAATAAAAGTATCACAAAAAGGTTTAGTAAACACCTTATTAATTGCGCAGTCATTTACATTGTATAGATATGTAGATTTTTACTTTGGTACTACTACAACAACTACAACTACTCAACAAATCCCGCCTAACCAGGCTTCTACTTTGCACAATGCCTTCTTCATTTACCTACGTGGATACATCCCAACATTCGGTATCATTCATAATAGTCCAATCCTGGGACTAAGCCTCAGTACCCTTTCCGACGAAAAGAAAGAAAAAAATTCCTCTCTGACCGAATCTCAATAATTCAACTCGGTATTTACATTGATTCTGTTACCTTCTCATTTTTCATAAAGAAAACGATGACCTAACAATTAAATACACGAACTTAAAATATCCCGTTAACAACTATTTATAAACGATACTCACTTTCTGGATATTGACCTGCCGAATCCTTTCGTCCCGTCGCGGCATTGCCCACTCTTCCCCGCGGCTCCGATGGAGCATCACAACCACTCAAAACTCTAAGTTCCTCGTGCTGTTGGAGATCCCAAGGGTGGTGCTCGCTGCTGTTCTCGCATGCCCGCCAACTGACGGCGGATCGCCGTCTGTTGCCCTCCAGAAACTAGCGGCTCCTCGCCGTTGATGGCCGCCGTGCCCGATGGCCAGAAAACGCGAGTCCTTCGGGCGGCCTTTTGGGACTCACGTACTCGCAATGCCAATTGGCGCCGCTTGCCGGTACGAAATAATTTCTCTAACTGCCCAAATGGCTCTGAGACTCAATGAAGTTGAACTTTTATGCGTTATCACGTGCCTTCCGCATTTCCAATTCCACCCCACCCCCCTAAAACATGCGCTTGAAACCACACGTCACCAGGACACAACCATTTGTCTCCAGGACTGAACAGTAAGAGATCTACTATACTTCTGCGCAGATATATTTCCAAAATACAATTGCACAAAACAAAAATATTTGATGTACAAGTCAATAGAAAAAATATAGGTAAGGTAAATCATTGTTAATTCAATGATAATGTACTTTTAGATTTTTGGTTGAGTTGTGCACGACATTCTTATGGATTGTTGTTTTTTCTGAAATCCTGTTGTCTCTTTCTGTTACACGATACTGTTTGATTTTTTCTGTTTGAGTTTTCATTCACAACTGTAAATTTTCATATTTTTTGTCATTTCATATTATTTTTTAAGAGTTTTGTGCTTTATTAATTATTACATTAGTTTTGTCATCCTTTTTGGTACTTACAAGTATGCAAATCTGGATGATTTGGATATTTGTAATGTTTATATACGAAGGTCATTTCATAAATAATGCACAGTATTTTGTTTTCATTCATTTTTTTTATTATTATTATTTGAGGAACTTTCTCTACAATTCTTCAGTGTTTTTCCATTCTTCTCATTCACCGAGTCCCAAAGACGAAGAAGCGTTCGAATTCCTACGAATACACCTTCCTACTGGCTGCAGAAAGCTCTTCAAAGGATTAAAACAATGTCCGCAAAGTTGTGTTTTTTGTTTGGTTTTTTCTTCAATTTTTGGAATTAGTGTAAGTCTGGTGGACTCATGTCTGGACTGTTGCGTGCATGTTATAACACTTCCCAAACACATTCATGGCACTTTTCTTTACCGAATTTGGCCGTGTGTGGACGAGCGTTGTCGTGGAGAATGAGTGTCCCAGAGCGTTTGAGCAAAAGAGATCGGGTTTTGTGATCTTGCAGTATCAATAATTTGACATTATTCGAAATATGGACGTTATTGAAATTCCTGTGGCTTCAGAGATTTTTTCAAATGTCGCACGATCTGTCAATGAACAGGTCTTCCCGGTCTTGCATCGTCGTTTTTTCTCACAGGCCCTCCACGAAATCGACTAGCCCAACGGGAAACTGCTATACTGTAATTTCACCGCACTGTAGTTCTGTACTGTCGTTCACTGCTTCACTGTAAGTTCACCACATACTTCATTTAAAGATTTCTGGATTTCAGTCGACTTTTTACCCCGTAAACTTTGGATCTTAATGTGCGATCTTTGATCCTCAACAGTCAGTATTCGAGATCTGTGTGGGCTCCATTTCTAAGATCAGTTATTAAATAACGAAACATTTACCTCAGCACAGTAGAGCTCACCGAACGAAACAATTTATTGATGAAACCGAGGCGCGCTTCTCCCTCAAACTTTGAACTAAAAGTGACGCAACAATCAGCAGCGTAATGTCTGTCAGACGGCAGCGTTGCCAAATTTCATTATTTATGAAATGACCGTACATAGTTTGACTTGCTAAATCGGAAGTAAAGTAATGAAAGAGCTATTACTACACAACGATTTTTGTATAATTTGATGTGAAATATTAATGTACATACATTACATTTTCTACGTAACCTACACGTAAAAGAAGTGCTATGTAGGCATCAGAAACCTGCGTAGACGTAAACGTATAGTTTACGGCATAACTATGCCATTCCGAATGCTTTCGGGCGCTGTCTCGACTAATGTGACGGCTGTGACGTCACTAAACGTACAGATGCCTACAGTTAACAGCACCAATATACAGTTCCGTTTGCGCCATCTGATGACAAACAATTTATATTTGTCCAAACATAACGCAGAAAACTCTATATCCTGACAAGAAATAGAGTTCACATTATTTGCCGAGCTCCGTGTCGTGCTCTGGTTAAAAATCGAGAGTCTCATTTGAGGCGGTGTGATTCGGCTTGCAACGCCGCGCCGGTTCACGCCATCCGCCCTTATTGCTGAAGTCACTGAGCGATTGTTGATGGACAGTCGCATAAGCTGGGCCAGGGTAGCCAAATGTGTTGTGAGCTCTTTCCCTATCGCTACTACAGAATTTCCCTAACCCGGAACCATATTTTGAATAAATTCAAATATTTCAAATCAATCATCGTCCTTCGAGCTGCTCGAAGCCCTATCTTCGTTTCTCTCATGGTTTTCTCTATGCCTGTCGTTTATTTTTCTCTTTTTGGTATATAGAAATGAAAGTGAATAAAGTCTGTTTCTTTTGTAATTATGATCATTAAGAGATTAACTCCGGTTGAAAATAATTTCACACAAAAATCCCCGACCACTTCCCCGTTCATTTATATTCCCCATTCTTTCCCCAAAACGAAAAGTTCCCCATTTTGGGGACAAAATTCCCCAATCTGGCAACCGTGGGCCGGTCTATTTCGCGACCTTGCAGAAGGCAGCATAATCGCTACAACGACCTCTGCCATGGCCCGCCACCGGTGGTACAGAAGGGAAAGCAAGGGAAGCGCGAGGCGTCCGACGACTAATGCTTCTCATTTTCGAGGATGTAAACTTTTAATGTGTGATGAGAAGTGGATATCTGCCACTTGCGAAATTTATTTATGCGACTTTGCATGGAAGCCTTATACATTAAACAATAGCAAAAATTGTGTGAAATCCCTAATCTGATCTGTCCTGTCGAATATTTGGAATTTACACTATGACGTCATTACATGATTCACTGCCTTTGCTTCTCCACGTACATTCCCAAACGTAATGTGATGCTTCTTCCTCCACCTATCTGGTCATTCCTCCAAACACACAAACTCTTGACTTTCATTCAGCAACATAGTCAGATTGCCAGTGTATTGAAGAACTTTATTCTTCAATACAAACCCCCTTGATAGCAATGCCTGAAGCACTCTGAATAATGAGCAATTGCAGTAATGCCTGATCAACATCATCTCTACAACGTTCAAATTCTTTTCGTCTGAGGCTTGATCTTGTTCAAGGCATTCAACACTTTGTCTTTGTTTTTTAATAATTACTCTCAGTTGGTCTGTTTAATTTATTTTTTCAACAGACCTCACTTGTGAAAGCCCACATTGAATATCACCAATAATATCCACCTTCTCTTTCAAAGAAAACTCTTCGACATGTTGTTGAATACTTCATTCGCACACAAATATTGTTCTTCACAGGATCTACCTTGAAGCTGTACTGATTGTTCTTCTCTCTGAAGTCCCTTCTGCACTCTGAATAAATTACACAAAAATAACTGACAAGATCTTTTGCTAGCAAACCCCCTGTTGCGTCCATTGTGAATCAGGACTGCACAAAGTCTTTAGTTAGGTCCCACACTCCTGTGTCTTCCACTGCCACAGCTGTGGAGTCTTCCTCAAAGATGACATTGACTCACCAATTTGTTCTCAGGCTATGTAATGTTGTTGTAATTTATGTCACTGAAGCAAAATATTTTTTTCTCTGGAAGGTGTGCTTATGTCCCCTGTAAACAATGGTTAGAGTTCATTATACTGTGATTTCTTTAGTGTCCTTTGACAGTTCATCAGCTGTTACGATGTCATACAATCAGCATCCTAAATGTCACTACAGTGTGGTCATAATGATGATGTTCAACATCCCAATTGGAGGACACCGGAACAGCTGATATGTCAACAGACCCTTTGTTTAAATCAAAGTATACAGCTAAATCTTCTAGTGAGCGTTTGTAATATAAGTATCAGTGTGTATTTGTAATATGAGAATCAGGACTATATCCAAGAGATCACTACCTCCTAATTCACTGTGAACAGAGTTAATTGTACATAAATATGTGTACATATGTGTGTATGCGTGTATGTACATACTCACATACTCACTCATTTATACATTATATTGTAGAAAATACTTATTTTTCAAGTAATTTATTGCCAGTCATATTTATTGGAATCCTGCTTAGTAATTTAGTATGCATTTGGATGATATTTAAAATTGATAATTGTTCCATTCAGTTTATTGATTATCTCTTACATTGGTTTTGAAATGTTTACAGCCCTGATGATATCATTATACACCTCCCTGGGGAACAGTTAACTGTTCAGTATTTACAAGAACATGGTTTTGAGAGACCAATTCTTATCAACACCCCTGAAGGGTTGGATATGTCTGTACCTAGTGATGACTTCACTGTTCGGGATGTAGCTCATTTTATTGGTATGTATTATATTCATTTATTACTTTTAATTTACTGACTGTTTATATTATACTTCATACTTCTGCTTATATACATATATTTTTATTTCTGTATTGCATGCTGTGTATCATATTTATTTGATCTATGGCATAATCAGTGATTAATGAAATAAATAAGGGTGGCCACCTTCTGGAAAACATGGATAACTGGGAAAAATCAAGGAATTTCATTTCTCTGGAAAAGTCAGGGAAAAAGAGTTTAGGCAGGCATGGGCACAGCTCACAGTTGGAATCTTTTTGCGCTGGGCAGGGTGGGTGGGATGTGGTGGGCACAGACATGAATGGCTAACAAACTGTCTGTATACGTAATTCTGTCCAGTATGCTTAAGAAACAAAACTGTACTACAGAAGATGTAGTGGGACGTTATGACTGATTTACCGATTTACTAACAGCAATGTAACAATTATTATTATTTAATGAAAGCCGGCTCAGAGAGAGATCAGAAAAATATCTCCTGAAACATTACCGCCTAGTTCTTCATTATTTATAACAATAATAATATATTATTATATTATATTATTTATTTATATTAAAGACAGCAGGTATACACCCAATTACAGGCTTACAAATTAGTTTAGAGGCTCACTCTGAGTTTGTAATGGCAGCTACATATTTCTTCGCAGAATGACAAATCAAGGAAATAGTCTGCAAATAAATAAATCTCACCAGTGCAAAATAATTAACATTATTTATTATTATTATTATTATTATTATTATTATTATTATTATTATTATTATTATTATTATACGGATAAGTGTGGCCATTATTTACAAAAAGAATACAATAAAAAAATGTGCATGTAGCAACATAATTATAAAAATAGAACCATTTATAAAGGAAAACATTCAATAATAACATATGAAATATGTCTGGTATAACAGTAGATCTGCCATGCCAACTCATTCAAATTTCACGATTTTGTTGCTCGCTAGTGATAAAAAAGCAGATTTATTTGTTCACATATATAAATAATCAAACTGTTGACTGATTTGCAACATCGATTTATAACATTATTTGCTCTAGAAGACTGATGGTAAAATAAATAATAATATCAAAAATATCTTGGATTCTAGAATTAAAGTTGGGTGTTTTGTTCACTATTTAGTTTTGCAATATTTTGCAATCGACCTCATCCAATATCAGTTTTCTCAAAAACAACAAGTCGTTCAAGTCTCTCTGAGAATTCGGTGAAGGAATGTGCAATTGCAGAGCCAAGTCAATATATCAATTATCTATCGTTTTATATAGAAGAGAGTTTGCAATAAACTTACCTGTAGAAGTAAAGTTGTACCGAGGCTTGTAATTACATATAATATACAAAAATAATATAATTATGTACTAATTTATATATTATTATTATTTTATTATCATTATTATTATTATTATTGAACCTGCAAATTAAACAAATGAGAAAATCTTAATTAAAATAATAAAAATATTAAAGGCACAACGGATGACCAAGATCGTTAAGTGCCATAGAGATCTCGAACCAAAGGATCGTGGGTTTGAGTCCCACCCCCCTTTCATTACTTTATTCATGTCATCTTCACTGTTACCATACCTTTCAATGCAATGGTGGTTGCCGCTAATGACCTAGATGTTGATGTGACCACAAATAAAATTTAAAAAATAAAATAAAAACTAGTGGTGCTGCCAAAGCACATACTTTCTCATTATTGTTTCTAATGCTCTGCAACATTATACTACTACGTAAACCAGCAAGAGTGTTTTCAAGCAGCACATTATTTTTCCGCTACAAGACTTAAACTTAGATCTTCAAATGTAACGTGCCGACACTTCACCACAGAAGCGCCACATGGGTCGAACGCGGACAAAGCTATAAAAAGGTAAATGCCTGATTCATGTAAAAAAACCTTCAACAGTCCAAATATCTATTAGAAACCCAAAACCTCAGTCTGTTAAGATCAATCAGGGAATATCAATTTTGAAGACAACCAGCTGAACTGTGTAGGTTCTAGCCTTAACCCCAGACAGATAGACTGATGGAAGGGACGTTTTGTCGTAAATCGATTTTTTAGTATCAAGACCCAACAAAACATGGATTATGACTACACCACTAGTTAGAGGATTTTTTCCTAAATTTAGCAATAGGATTTATCCAGTTTTTTGTTACCAGAACCTGACAAATAAGGTTTTTTTTTGGTGAAATTTCAGCGTTATCTGGCACATGACTACATAACTTTCTCTTCCTATGAAGAATTTGTAAGGTGAGAAAGTAATAAGTAGTCAATAATTATTATCCAAATAATTAATGGAAAATAATAAAATGTTTTGTCCTTAAAATGACAATAAACTGACTGTGAGTAAATGCTCAAAGAGACTATCATTTCCCAAGAGAGGCTTTGACTCTCTTTAGTGTAGTGGCTGCAACACGTTGAAGAGTAACTAGGGCAGAATAAGTGTTTTCTCTTTCTTCCAACTAAAATTAGCCACATTCTCCCCGCCTGAAATGCATCTGAGAGCATATGGACATGGGTCACGAAAAGTGAAAAAGATGCTGAATTTTATTAATAATTTCACATGTTGCCAAATTGCCAAAACAAGGTGTTCCCAGACAGATGTTGCAATTTAAGATAAAGATCTGAGATATCTCCCTCAGGGATATCTAGTTGCAATATCCAGGTGAGACTAACTGATGGTACATTGACAAGAAGCATTATAGATATCATTATGGTATCCAACTTCAAAAACAAACATCTGCACTAAAACCTGTCTTACATATAATGTTATAATTAATGTGTATAATTAATTTATATTATTAGCAAAGCTTGATGATAGAATGAATTCGCCAAATGGGCAGCTAGGTAATTTTTACTACATTTATATGACACATATTTATGAATCTTGGAAATATTTTAATCTTGTATAATATTGAAGTCTGGGTGAAAGGTATAGGTTGGTCTGTTCTGCAGTCTTGTAGAAATAAAACAGATCTTGGCTACAGTTCCTCTGAAAACTGAAAGTTTGGAGAATGTGCTGTAAGTCAGGATGTTCTCGAAGGAATAGACATAACGAACATCATCTGATTCTAAAGGAAACCATATCATGTAAAATATTGTGATAAAATACTAGTAAGATTATAAGAATGCAAAACAAATTTTTGATATTCTCATTGGAAGCAAATTGTTGACAGCACTTGACAATTTGGATATTCCTGTTAATACGCAACAGAATGAAAGTATTCAGATTTGGGAAAGAAATAACATGTTTTTTTCTCCCAGGAGGTCCTTAGTTTCCAGTTCCGACAGTAGGAGGATTTTTCAGAGTAGCTACATAGCTAGATCGAATCGGGCGATGTCTGGAGAACTCTAGCGGTCAGTTACTCTGATCGGTAGTTTTCCTGTGTTTCTCCAATCAACACCTGCAAATGCCAGAGCAGTACCCTAACAAACATGCCACAGACCTTACACGAATTTTCTTTCCTCTCCTTTGTCCTGTCCTAACACCTTACTTGTAGTGCAAGTTTTATAAAGCAATCTCTCAGGGCCTGTCTTTGCAATGGCATTGTGTCACTACATTTTGCGCCTTTCTCAATCGTGGCACTAGATGTCACATGATCGTGACTGTATCAAGCACTGCTTTATCTTGCGACATCTAGCGGCATAACCGAGAAAGACATGAAATGTAGTGACATAATGCTACTGTAAAGACAGGCCTTGAGAGGCAGCTTTAGAAAAACCACACGATACAGACACTTACACTTACTTGTACTACATTACTACACATGCCAAGAGACCAGTCGGAAGCTTGGAGCTTGTCCCGGCTGGGGTGGAACCCTGTACGCCGATCCAAATATTAGACGACTCTGAATATAAGGCAACCCGTAAAAATGAAGATGCATCCTGAGAAATTTAGAATTGTTTCATATATTCTTACCATTTAGTGAATATAAAATTGCAAATTGTCTAGAAAATAGTTTTGCTGATGTGAATGTGAAAACTTACTGTTTGAACTATGACAATTTTGTTGTGTAAAATCATCATACTCATAGTTTTTGCGTCTGATTGTCATCTTTACATTTATCGGATTCTTTCTTTTTGGTCCTCCTTCCATAATGTATTGTCCTCTAATGTTTTAGGCTCTCCTGAAAGTTTTGCATCTTGAATTTGACTTCGCCTTTCAGTCCACAGCCCCTAAGGACATTTCCTTCCGGGTCTCCAGATTTTTTTTCCTGTCACGCTCTTTGTTGCCTCCAAATCTTTCACATTCTTTAACAGAAGATTCTTTAAATTCGCATAGTTTAATGTTTGTGTGATCGAGTTGTGAACTGCGAACTCTTCTCCAATTCATGGGTAATGGGGTAAAGAGTTTCCAAGCTTGGGAAATTTTTGCTAAGAAAATATTCTGCCTTTCTTTCTTTCTGCCTTTGTGTCTCTCATTCTGTCTCTCACATCTATCAATGTGAATTTGTCATTTCCCTCTCTTGCAAAACCTGTGAACCACAGGTTTGCGTTTGCCTTCGTTAATCAGCTCACCATGTAACAAAATCTTAGCAAAGATTTTCATTCTTTTTTAAAATTGCATTTTACTTTCTACAATGCCTGCCATTTAAGATTCTCTCTTAACTGGCCCATTAAAATATATTCGTTTGGATTGCCTGGCAAATTTTTGTTTGTCAAATGATGCAATGTTGTCAACAATGATGTGAATAGAAAACATTTTATGTAAAATGATTTCTTATACTATGAAATTATTGTCAAATATGCATCTCTTTATTTTCTTGATATGTCTTTGCATTATAGTACTTCATTATTTTATTTTGTTTATTTTTTATATTACTGCCAAATATGAACTGTACTTGAAATTAGTGTCTTCTGTGTTCCTAGTCCTGCAATTTTTGTTGTAGTGCTCTTCTATTATTTTGTTTTCTATAATTATATGTATACACACACACCCACACACACCACCCACACCCCACACACCCCACCCCACACACACCCACACCTACCCACCCAACACACACTACCCACACACACATCCACATCACCACACACTACCACGACAACACATTACACACATCACCACACTACACTCCACACACACACACACCACGCATATACACCACCCTCACACACCACCAACACACACGCACAAACGCACCACATAACACATACGCAACCCTCGCACACAAACACACACACCGCCACAACACACGCGCGCACTCGCACACACATTCACGCGCGCGCGCCGCACACACACACACGCGGCTGCGCGCGCCGCAACACACAACACACGCGGCGGCCGCCCACCACACACACCGCGCGAGCGCCGCACACACACACACGCGCGCGCCAGCCCAGCGCGTTCGCACACACACACAGCGCGGCGCCCACACACACACACGCGCGCCACACACACACACGTCGCGCGCAACGCACACACACATTACGCGCGCCACACACCACACACGCGCGGCCAAAACAGCGAGCGCGCACACATCACACGCCACACACACGCGCGGGCGGCCGCAACACACACAGACACCGCCGCATACACCACCGCGCGCCAAGACAGTCACACACACGCGCCACAAACACGCGCACAAACACGCCGCCACACACACACACACACGCGCGCAGCCACCAACACACACACGCGCGCCACATCACACGACCTGCGCGCCACACACACACGCGCGCGCGCCACGAAACGCGCGCGCCACACACACGCGCACACTATCACATACGCGCATCATCCGCGCACCACGACACGCGCGCACACTACACACAGCGCCCACCCCCAACTGCCTCCCCGGCGCGCGGCACCACATCAACACGTGCACTTCACACATCAATGCGCCCAACCACACTCTCTCTCTCTTCTCTATTCTCTTCTCTCTCTCTCTCTCTCTCCCTGTCTCTCTCTCTCTCCTCTCATCTCACACACACACACACACCAACACACACACATTCACACACACACACACACACACACACACACACACCACTCTCTCACACATGAAAATGTTGAAAATAAATGAAAAAATAAAAATGTTTCAGGACCTGATCGTGAAGTAGATGTAATAGATGTGACCAGGCAAGCAGACGTCAGAATGAAATTGCAAGATTTTGTAGATTACTATTTGAATCCTCAAAGACTTAAAATTTTGAATGTAATAAGTTTGGAGTTTACAAATACAAGGTTTGTACATATCGCAATTTATGTTTTGTGATCTTGTAATTTGTTCATGATTTTTTGTATTACCTGTCATTTCCTTGTTCAAACCATTTGCTCAATGTTCCTCTGCCTACAAGTGAAGCTGGCTAAGGTAGTCAAGTATTTACTGATTTACTGTGCTGGTTCAAATTCCACTCTAAGAATGAAGGTCTAATATATATAGTTATAAACTTGTAATGTTTATAATGTTATGTTTTGTAAAGTTATAGCTGTATAGATTGCTTTGATAAGTACTAACAGAAATCACTGATTATAGTAAATGCGAAATGAATTTGAATCGCATACTTGAGTGATTGGTCAATTTTTATGTTTAATTGAGAAATCTATGTACCTTGTGACTCTTTCTAAATTCAGTGTTATATCCTCTTGTATCAGAGTACTTACAGAGTTATTGGAGTACATATATTCAGTACTTAAATCAGGCTTATATAAGAAATGCCTGCATGCAAAAATAATACTACAATAGAGATTATTTAAAAGTGTGATAATCTCTGATGCTATAAAAAGATACTGTTTTTTAGTAATGTCCATCTGGTTTATATTTGAATTAAGTTTTTATCCAATTTATCCAATTAACATATTTGTGGTGTGCAGGGAGCATATTGTGATTGTACAAGAAAAATAACACACCTTAAAAATCTTACCTACTGGGCAGTACCTGAGTAGGGGGGTTTATTTAGTGGCCAAAGAAAAATTTGACTCGCAGTGTTTTTGAAATTTTGACCAGTAAAAATAGTAAATTTCTTTGCCTAATTAAAACTTGGCAAATTTGTAGATGCATTACTGTTCTTATGGACAGACTATATAAAAAAAGGTAAAAATTATGTTTTCTATTTTATAACATTTATTAGTTACTTGTATTTTTTATTGTTCAGATTGGCAACAATTGTGGAAGCTCCTTATATTGCCCGAAAATTGGACTGGGTAAATTATGTCTGGCCTGAGGAATTGCCAGAAACGGCAGCATTTCAAAAACCTGAGGTGCAAAAGTATTGCCTCATGGGAGTTAAGGATTCATATACCGACTTTCATGTTGATTTTGGTGGATCCTCAGTATGGTATCATATTTTAAAGGTAACCGTCCATAGTTGTTTTCCCCAGAAATATATTGATTGATGCTCCCACTCAGTTTAATAATAATAATTATTATAATTATAATAATTTGAATTTATTCACAACACATATTTATCCATCAAATAAAATGAAATAATTTTGTACTATACATGTCCAAACTAATACAAATTTATAACAAAACCATCAATAATAATAATATTAATAGTAAATAAATATGTAATGCTAGCTGCAAACATGGTGAAGTTCACATACCTTACAATTAATGTGATATTTTGAAAGAAATTTTACAATTATTCAATGAGAATAAGACTGCCTTTCTTCATGTTTTTTTAGGGTTGGTTTGAAGGCCCTTAATTTTTTAGGCAGACATTCATTCACATAATAAATGTTTATTAAAATCATACAATTTTTAGATCTGCGTATAGAAGATCATTGGCCTTCATCTTCAGGGTCACTCTACATTTGTTTTTTGTTTATAATAATTATTTCATGATATATTGTTAATTTGAAGGTTGTAACTGAAGAAAATGCAATATTTTGTGTGAGTCTGAAATATCAACTCATGTTCTGTTATCCTGTATCAAATTTTGTTGCAATATTAAAACACAAGTTTTTTGTCACATGAAATATGAAAAAGTGGACAAATCCAATTGCTAAATTTAGAGAGGGAAATCCACTCACACATGGTGTGGCCCAAATTCATGTTTGGTGGGCCTTTGATACCGAAAAATTGAAAGATGATCAAACGTCTGTCTGTCTGCCTGCCTGCCTGCCTGCCTGCCTGCTCGTCTGTCTGTGAACAACGCTAACGGCTACTGTTCTGCAGATTTTCTCATAAATTGACATTCCTTAATCTTTCTGGGTGATATTATTTCCCCTTGAATTTGAAACTGATATTTTAATTCTTGGGGGTACTTTACATGAAACCTCTCAAACATTTTCCTAATAAAAAAAAATAGTTTTTGAAAATGGTTTCTTCGTTTTTGATAAAATTTTGTTGTTGGATAATGTGAAGGATTTTTAAGAGAATTGTGCAGGTCGTTGCATTAATCAGGTTTGTTAAAAACTCAAATTTTTCGATAATTCCAAAAGTTCAAAAGACGTCGTCCTGTAACTAACTACAATTACAAATAAAGAGATTCTTTCCCTAAATGAAAACTGTTCCTTAAAGATAGATTTTTAAACAAGGTCATGTATAATTTGAAGAAAATTTGTATACTTTTCTTTTAATTTTGCATGAAAATAGGGCATGAAAGTAGGTGTTGTTTTTGCCTTGTATTGTAGGAGAAGTTTTTCATTGTTTATTTTCCATCATTGCTATTCAAAGTTATGTAAAACTCTCAAATAAATATTTATAGAATGAGAACATTTTTACTAAAAATAGTAATGCCAAAAATTCAGGATTTAAAAAAAAACGTGTGAGTCATTGTATCTCCAATAAAGGTACTAGTGCTTGAAGGTTAATTAATATTATTTGGGATCTTGATTATACCTATCAATGGCCGGTTCATGTTCATCAATACACCCCCAATTGCCCCCTGATCATCATTGACCTATGTCAAAATTTAATCACCCCTCAGGGGATTTAAAAGACCTGAAAAGACTGTTGGGAACCCCTAGTTTAACCTAATATCATACTGTAATTTTTTGCCATTCAATAAAATTCTTTATGCCATAGTACTGTATGTACTTGAATAACATCCACAACCTAATTTTATGAAAAGAAATCTCAATTTCCCCCCACTTTTATTGCAAAAAATGTTAATTCACTACAGTGTTTATGTAACTCAAAAAGTAACTCAAATCGCGTTTTGTGCCATCACAAATGCAACTTTCATCCACATCTTCTTTCCTTCCTGTGGCACTGGTACCAATTTGTTCTGCTTCTTCTATCATGTGTAATTTTTCTTTTGCAGTGAAAGATCTCTTGCAGAAGCCATGATTAAGACCTCACACATTCAGTATACAGAGAGTATCGAGCGATCATTCCCTGAATCCCATTACTTGCTGTGTGCCGAGCATCAGATGTTCTCACCCTATTCTCTCTCTCTCTCTCTCTCTCTCGCCCCCCACACACACACATTCCCCAGTGCTCTCTTTACCCACCACATGTTTGTCTTTTGATCACATCAAGGATGCAAACATTTGCTGAGCATATCAGCTGCTCATAATTGGGTGAGCAGTAGCTTCTGTGAATGCCGAATGTGAGGAGCCAAGTTGTTTAACTTTAGTAGAATACAAATATATTTGACGTTGGTTTTGTGGTCAGGGACTTCCAAAACTATAGGATACACATTTTCATCAAAAAATTGGAAAATAAGACTGCTACATCCAAAAGTCTCAAGAAGCATGGTATCGTGAGGTAAACCTTCTTTTAAATTTCAACGCCTCAGTGGTGTTGTGTGTTTTAATTCAAAACAGCTAAAGGTTGCTTTCTTTTTTTTACATTTTGAACTAATGTATGGGTGGGCTAGAAAAGTTTTAACTTTCATTTTTTAACAGTCATTTTAGTATGTACCTATAAAGTGTATTGATATTTAATTTCTTTTTGTCTTTTAGGGTGAGAAGATTTTTTATCTGATTAAACCAACACCAGCTAATTTGTCCTTGTATCAAAGATGGATGACATCCAGTTCACGAAGTGAAACATTTTTTGGTGATCAGGTAATTCACTTTATTATTCATAGTATTTATTACTAATTGATATTCTTAATGAGTTCTATGTATTTTTGTGATTATGTGTTAAGTATATAAATAATGAACTTTTGAATATAGTTTTAAAAAATTCAGGTGAAGTAGATCTGAATTTAGTTTTGTATTTGATTTAAGTATTTTTGAAGACAATAAAGTGACTTTTTAGTAAATAATTCCATTTTTGGACGGCAAAAAAAGGAAAATTTAATAGTTGTTGTATATGATATGTTTTATTTTTCAATTAAACAAATCCGTAATTCAGTATGCCATATAAGATTAATTTATTTTAAAGCAGAACTAAAATATTGGGTCTGTAGTGGGTTGTTCACTATCAGGAAGGGCGGCATTCCAAGGGCTTATGTGGGCAGTAGGAGACGTGAGCTTTGAACAGTTGCTCCCAAATGTACATACACCTAAAGCTGTGGGTTGAAACTCTATGAAAGACATGGATGTTTACGCCATGTGCTCTTGCCACAGAAACCATCTCACTGCCCCATGCATCACATTTGCAACATTCATTTCATCATTATTTTGGTGTTCTGGTTACTGCAGAAAAAGGAGATGCTGAAGGTACAGAATCACAATGTCCATCCATCCATTCATCAAGGATATGTGATTTTAAAAATAAAAATATGTTCAATTAGAGGTTAATGAAAAAGCAAAACAACTGTACTAATGTTTTTAGGAGTACTACATATTGGTTTGATGTTGATTCTCTTTCAACTCTCCTGACACATTATTCTTTCAGCAATTTGTTGTTTGCAGTTTCTGAATTAACTATGAAACAAAATACTACTATAATTAACGTCTGATCTTCCAATGTTATCCCTGGCAACACGGTCCTCTTGCTTGGACTCCGTAGTGGATTGGGACAAACGTAAACTTAACATCCATATGAATTCAATAAACCTTACCTGAGATGTTTTTGCAAGGAAAAGGAGATCTGTAGAACTGTGGAGCTAAACAGTTTCTTTCCTACTGATTTGGACCAACCAATGAAGCTTCTTCCTGCTGATTGGTGCTGATGAAATGTGCTAATAATAACAAAAGATAACCGGGGAAAAAAGATAGTCAAAAGTGTTTAAATTTAGTGTCTGGCATGTGCAATTGAAGACACAAATGGTGCAACAAAGGAATGGTGTGCCCTCTTTGAAGCACGCACCATTACAAGCAAGCAAATTATGAGAATACAAAGCAGATTGTTGGTCACCTGGTGGAAGTGACAATTCATCCTTCCATCAGTCTTTGCTAGGGGGTGGTAAATCATATAGATTTCTCTTATGAATCAGAGGAAGATCTTAAACCCTTCTTCCAAACACAATGCAATTGCTGTGTATAGGATCAAGATGCATGGTGGATAGGTGACCTCTACTCTGATTTTCACTTTTAATCATCCGTTCCTACCAGAAAGGATTTTTTGGTTGATCTTTCTTACACTTGCTTATGTAAAAAACTGGAATGCTTAGTAAATGAGCATTTAATTTGTTGAAATCAGCTGACGCCAATCCAATATCAGTTCCAATCCAATATCAGCCAGTGACATCGTCAGAATGAGTGATACAGGCACAGAGGTTTTATGTACAAATTTATTTATATTTGCTGTACAATATTTACAATCCTATGGAAACCTTTTCCACTGCACTCCGCAGCAATCCAACACTTGAGGCAAGCCACCCCAGTCTGACCCAGAGGACCCCAGCATGTTAATACAAGCCTGCCCCAGGTGTTTCATCTCGTGGTGAACGCCTCACTTTTCAAGCCGCAGTGGTTATCCCCTCAGGTGATAATGTGCCCCTGCACAGCGATTTGTCTGAAACTCGAATACCTCCGGAAGAATCCTCCATTCGCTTATATCATGAAGAATCACGTGATAGACCCCCATGGTGTAGCCGAACCGATTGCCTCATCTCATTACAGACTTTTGGGTTGGAGCTGAATAGGGCCGGCCACTAGCAGTAGGCCGAGGCTGTCATCACACATCATCCCCCTTGGGCTAGCTGACACCCGTGTGTCCAAGAACTCACTGGTGGATCGCACACTCCCAAGGTGACAGAGTTCTGGTTGCGCCGCCAGCTTGGCACTTCGGGCCAACCCATCGCCCTTGCCAGTTGCATGTCCTGTGTGGTCCAACTAACAAAATGCTATGATGTTACAGATGCCATCAATCCCCTTGAGATCACAGACTGTATCACAGCCTACAAAAATCTCTTCCTCATTTGGCCTGAGACACCTTGTGGTCCTTTTCTTTCACATAGATAAGTTGTACAGCTTTCTAAGACTATTGGTACTTGGGGGTTTAGTGGAAAGCTAACTTTATTTCTCCAGAACTTTATTTCAAATTGATTCTTTTGAGTATGTCTTTGTAACTTGCTATTTTGCAGTCATCCTATAGAAAGCAGTTTATCATCAACCGTACAAGAACCTGTAAAAATATCACTGTCTGCAGACAATTACTTTATTTGCTCGTGTATAAGCCACACTAATGATATTTTACACAATACTTTGAACAAAAAATCTCATGTTTAAGCCACAGTGAAGTTTACCGAACAATATGGAAATCGAGCAGCCATGGGGAAGTTCGACGTTGATGAGAAGAATGTGAGGTGATGTATTCATGACAAAAGGGCATTGGAAAATAATGTGCATTTCAGGGCAAGAATTGTAAATATCCAGCAGTTGAAAAAGAATTGTTGGAATAGGTTTGGGAAATCTGGTGCAATGATGTTGCCAGTTTCCGAAAGATGCTGCAGTCTGAGGGTAGCAAAATCGCCATGAAACTCTGTAGCGGCATCACCTGTACTGAATTTCAAGCATGCTACAGGTGAGTGAGAGAAGTGTTCCAATAAGAACTACAGGAGCAGAGAAGCAATGTAACTCCGTTATGCTAGTGATAACGGCGGACGGCTGCAAGTTGCCACCATACGTGTTTTTCAGAAGGAAAACTGGACCAAAGGAGAAATTTCTCCTGGAATGATTTTCCGGTGTGTGTCCAGGAAAGTGAATGGATGGATGGATGACAACCTCGCCCTGGTCTAGATGAAATGTATGTGGTTGCTGCGGCCTGGTGCTCTGCAAAAGCAATGGTCCATGCAAGTTTTGGACAGTGGCTAGTTTCCTGGCTCACACAACAGAGAGGTTGAGAAGTAAAGTGAAGGAGAACAATGGGGATTTAGCAGTGATGCCAGGCGGCATGTCCAGGATGTTGCAACTTTTAGATGTGGCTTACAACCAACCATTCAAAGTGCATGTGCAGTGTTCGTACCGTACATGGGCGCAACAAAAAGAAGCCACAACTCCAACCGGCTGTCTCAAGAAGGCCATAGAGATGACATGTGTCAGTGGATTTTGGAGGCACGCACATCGATTTCAGGCAAACTGGTCACGAAAAGTTTTCAAGTGTGCAGCTTTTCAAATAAGATGAACCATATGGAAGACAATGTATTATGGAAAATTTCCCGTAATTTTGAAAGTGACAGAGAATTAGGGTTGACTGTGTGAATTCAGGAGTGATGAAAGTGATTAAATTTATTTATTTTTGTAATTTTGTGTAAATCATTGCATGAAAAATTTTATAATTAAATTTTCAGTTGTACCTGATGAGGGGAAACAAATCAGTCTCTGAAACGTCGTAACACAAGTAAATAAAATTCTTATGTGAAAAAATTTTTGGCACTTATTATTGTGGTTGTCTATAATTTAAAATAAGGGACTAAACAACAAGTAAATGATTAACTTAACTTACATATATTTATTTATTTACTGTATGGTCATTAATATGTCCAATTTACAAATGTATCATAATAGAAGAATAAGACTGCAGTTACAAGAATTATTTATAACAAAAATAAAATTTGTAAGAAAAAATAATTTACATGTGTAACATTGTGACAGTGTGTAACAGTATAAATTAAATATATTACAAGTATATAATTATTTATGTATATTGAACTGATGATCTCAAACATGTTATCAACTCACTAAAACTAAGATCTAAAATATCTAGATTTTGATTATTTATAATTTTTCAAGTTCTAAAGAAAAAATTATTTGATATATAAAGTTAAGAATAATTACGCAAGAAGTAAGGTTCAATATGCCTAGTAGACCTATTAGAGACACAAAACAACAGTTTACTAAGTAATAATGGGCAATCAATTGTACCATGTAATAGTTTATATAGGAAAACAACGTCGTTGTAGGCCATAGACAATTTTAAAAGTAGGAATACTCGACATTTGCAAGATTCTAGCATAATTATGATTTATTATCGGATCTGTACAGCCATTTCTTGGCAAGAGATATTGAATAAATTTATGCTGTTCTTTTTCAAGCCTATTGATGTGAAAATCAAAGTACGGCGACCAGACAGTAGAAGCAAAAAGTAGGCGAGATTTAGCTAATGAATTATACGAAGTTCTCAAGGCTGCATTACTTTGGATGTCCGTACATGTTCTCTTAATCAGTCTAAGTTCTTGTAGAGATTTATTTATAATCATATCAATGTGCATTCTAAAATTCATTTTTGAGTCATATATAAAACCAAGATCCTTTATTGAGAAAACTTTTTGAAGGTACATATTATTAATTTTGAAAGAACTATCAATGACATTTCTACCTCTAGAGAAAGTTATGAATTTCCTTTTTTTTTAGGATGAAGATATAATTCATTTAATAAACACTTCTGATAGATAGCTGATAGAACATTTTGTAGATCTTTAATGTCTTCGGTTCATTTTATACTTTTAAATGGTTTTAAATCGTCAGCAAATATAAGAAACTCAGCACTCCCCAGAAGTGAGCAAATATCCTTGATAAATACAACAAATAATAAAGAATCAAAATGTGAACCTTGGGGTACCCCCGAGAATACTGTAATTTCATTTAGGGATGAGATCTCTGTACTTCATATATTGGACTCTAATACACAAGAAATCAGTTAACCATCGCAGAAGAATTCCAGATATAATAAAGCATTGAAGTTTTAGAATTAACAATTTGTGGTTTACAGAATTGAACGCCTTGCTAAAATCAGTATAAATAGTATCAACTTTTATATTCATTTCCTGAGGGTTCAGAATGAACTGGCTGTAAAGAATTAAGTTACTTTCAATATTACGTCCTGGTGTAAATTCAAGTTGATTAGGTGATACAAATGGAGTAATTTTAGATTTTAATTTATCCGTAACTATCAATTCAAAAAGCTTAAGTAGAATGCTAAGAATGTCTATAATTTGCTATAATGCTCAGAATGTCTAGAACTTGTCTATAATTAGATATTTCATTTTTAGAGCCAGATAAACAACTAATTAATTTGTATACAAATTATATTGGAACATAAGATGATGAACTTCTCATTTTCTCGGTGACAGACCAAACAAAAGCTATGTAACTTTGTAGGTCAGTAACACTCAATGCCGGGAATTAGTGTTGCCACTCGCAGCTCAAGAATTGGTTTCCCTTCCAATTTTCAAGAAGTATGAAAGTTTACCCCATGCAGACCTTTACCCCCATTTACCTTACCATGCACATTTATGATAAATAAATGGCATTTTCGGCATAAAATTTTGTTTTTTTCCAATGATATTTTTAAAGAAAAATCTTTTGTATAGACCGCACCCCCATTTCATGAGTTACTTTTCAGAAAAACAGTGCGTCATGTACATGAGTAAATACGGTATCCAATCTTCTATTCATTCTGCAGCATCAGTATCATCCAAAGGCAACTTGAATTGTTTTTCAATATACCATATGAATGAATTATTTTTGCCAGCTTCAAGTATTCTGTATTTAAACCCACTGGTATTCACTTTTGCAAAATATACAACTTGCATGAAAGTCCAGATCTTTACCTTATAGGGCATCAGCTCCTAATCATTGTTTCGGCCAGGTTTCTTGAACTGACCTTTGATAGAACCCTCACATAGCTTGCCCACATCTGTAGATTGCAGACCAGATGTACTTCTTCCTTGAAGGACACATACAGGGTCTGGCAGCATCAAAATATTTGACTGAATTGAGAGACCCCAAAATTTTTGTTACCATAACATCAGCCAATTGCATATTGTTTTTAATGGCACAGGAAATTGTCCATTTGAGATGCAAAACTGCATTGAATCAGATTTTCCTTCATTTACTACAAATTTGTTATTACAATATAAATTAGAAACATACGAAATCATACCACTTTTTTTTCTTTTGTGCTAAGAATATTTTGTATTATCAGCAAAGAATTCTTCAATTTTCAATTGTCAAGGGCATATTCTTTAAAGGGAGGTTTCATCAAATGCAGGGAAGATTGAACTCTGCAGGACCCCATGCTCAATTGTTCTTTCATGCCTGTACAGTATTTTTGCTTAGAGGTTGATGTTTAAGGTAGGAAAGTATCCAGTGTTGTGAAGTATGATGAATTCCAGAAGAAGGTAGTTTTAAAAGTGAAATTTTATGGTCAATGATCTTCCTCCTTCTCTCCCTCTCCTTTCTCTCTCTCTCCCTCTCCTTTCTCTCTCTCCCTCTCCTTTCTCTCTCTCCCTCTCCTTTCTCTGTCTCTCCTCTCCTTCTCTCCTCCCTCTCCGTTCTTCTCTCCCTCTCCTTTCTCTCTCTCCCTCTCCTTTCTCCTCTCCCTCTCCTGTCTCCGTCTCCCTTCTCCTTTCTCTCTCTCCCTCTTCCTTTCTCTCTCTCCCTCTCCTTTCTCTCTCTCCCTTCTCCTTTCTTCCTCTCTCCCTCTCACTTTCTCTCTCTCCCTCTCCTTTCTCTCTCCTCTTTCTCTCTCTTTCTCTCTCTCTTTTCTCCTCTTTTCTCTCTCTCCTTTCTCTCTCTCTCCTTTCTCTCTCTCTCCTTTCTCTTTCTCTCTCCTTTCTCTCCTTCTCTCTCCTTTCTCTCTCTCTCTCCTTTCTCTCTCTCTCCCTTTCTCTTCTGCTCTCCTTCTCTCTCTCTCTCCTTTCTCTCTCTCCTTTCTCTTCTCTCTCTCCTTTCTCTCCTCTCTCTCCTTTTCTCTCTCTCTCTCCTTTTCTCTCTCTCTCTCTCCTTTCTCTCCTCTCTTCTCTCCTTTCTCTCTCTCTCTCTCCTTGTCTCTCTCTCTCTCTCCTTTCTCTCTCTCTCTCTCCTTTACTCTCTCTCTCTCCTTCTCTCTCTCTTCTCCTTTCTCTCTCTCTCTCCTTTCTCTCTCTCTCTCCTTTCTCTCTCTCTCTCCTGTCTCTCTCTCTCCTTTCTCTCTCTCTCTCCTTTCTCTCTAGGTCTCTTCTCCTTCTCTTCTGTCTCTCTCCTTTCTCTCTGTCTCTCTCCTTTCTCTCTGTCTCTCTCCTTTCTCTCTCTCTCTCTCTCTCCTCTCTCTCTCCTCTCTCTCTCTCTCTCCCCTTTCTCTCTCTCTCTCTCACCTTTCTCTCTCTCACTTCATATCCTTAAGGGATAAAGGTGCACCAGTGCTCACAGAGAGGATATTGGCAAACTACTTCTGTTACAAATTTGCTTTTGGACATCTCAGTGATAGAAACTAGGGGCTTTAACTGAGTTGTGAACTTGCTTCCAGGCAGCAGACTCCACCTATAGAAGAGAGTAGCAACGGAAATGTATTTAATATTTGATTTTTTAATGTTGCTCCAAATTTTCATTGTATGATTGCAAATTATCTTCAGAAGTGCTGTTCCGCATAGTTTTTAACAGTTAGTATGTTCCTATAGTATTTTTTTAAGTACTTGATTAATATAATTGTATGCAACTTATTATAAGAGATGATTAATTTACTGCCATTCATTGAATTCAGTCTGTTGTCAAAAGAAATAATATATATGTTATGTTTTTTTTATAGGTTGACGAGTGTTACAAATGTGTAATGCAAGAAGGGCAGACCATGATGATACCTACTGGTTGGATCCATGCTGTACTCACACCTATAGATTCTTTGGTGTTCGGAGGAAATTTTTTGCACAGCCTTAATATTCCTATGCAATTGCAGTAAGGAAAATTTTCTTTATTTTACTGTTATTTAATTATATATTTAAGAAAATATAGTATCATAATTACAGTATTATATAAGAAGAATTATAGTAAAATATAATTAATTTTGATACTAAAATTTGGTTGCAAGTACCACTTTAATAAAATATAATCTACATTTAACAATTAGTGCTCCATTTTACTAATTTTTTCCATCAGATTGATCACATGTAATTACCCTCAGCCTCATTACACAATCCTTATTCGTTGTTGCTGTTTCAAAATCATAGAGCCAATATTTTTATGTTTTAGTAACATTGAGAAATAATAATATTTAATTAAGCTAATAGAATATTTTTGAGTTTAGGTCAGAAATCAAAAGTTTTATAATCCTTACTGCCAACGTTTTGGTTCTGTATTCGACTATCTTCAGGGCTGCAATAAATGTAATATTGATTAGAATTTCCCTTGTTGCAGTCTTACATTGATAATTGAACTTTTAACTCAGGAAGGGGTCACAAGGGAGAATTTGGATCCCTGGCTATATTATTACATGAACAGTTTTGTTTGAGGATATTGTGTAGTCTTGCGATTTTCAATACCTTTCTCTGAATCTTTAATTTGCAAAATCTTCTTTTTTCATTACCCATTTCATGATTACAGCCTGTCTGTATATTCTCAGAAATTATTTTAATCTTGCATTTGTCTCTGGTCGCAAAGCTCCCACATGCCCTCTTATGTTAGACTCATGCTCACAAGCAGAGCTGACAAAACCTTCACAAAACCTTTATTTTCTGTCACAATCCAACTTCATGCCATCAATTTTCAGGGAGATAAAACATTACTAATACTACCGGGAATTACCAGAAACAAATTGCAAATGGAAGTTTGCATCGTATTTAGGCTTGATCTATTTTGAGATCAATACTAACAGAATAGCTGCAAGAGTTGATAGCTAAATTATCACAATATTTACATTCTGAACAAAAACGAGAAGCAGAAATTACAAGAAAAAAATAAACTAGAAAAGATATGCATTTTGTCCAGGAAATATAGACTGCAAAACATCCCAGGCCACATAGTAATGTGCGTGTAGTATGCAAATTACACTCATTGTTGGTAAAGATTGGGTGTAAAAATGAATTACTTAACTGAAACTGTAACAAGTTTTGTACTTCATCTTTTAGTTCAATGACTCCTATCTTGATCATGTTTGTGTTCAGTTCTCCTGATCCTTGAACAAATGTTGAGATGGTCTCTTGTTTTACTTGTGGACATTAATGTAACTTCAAATTAACTTCTTCCCGTAGCACATCACACACAGTGTTTAACTGTTTGCGACATAAATACATTCCACACAGCAGTCATTGCACTGTATTCCACATAAAAAAACTCTATCTTTCTTCTTGTTAATTACAAATCATCCATTTCTGTTGCTTAATGAGCTAAAATTTTATCCACATGAAAAGGGGTTTTATGCTTGTAATTTCTCACCAACTAAATCCAAATATTCAGATGATTGATTTTCATGTTAAAAATCAATTTAACTTATCCAATTAAAAGTGAATCTGATTTAAAGGGAAAATGATTGTCCCAAACTAATAAGCATACATCTCATTTAAGAAATGATTGTAATCTTGTGCCAGAAAACAGTGAATTTTTTGACAGCTCTTATTGCCCTGGTAACAAAAAAGTGGATAAATATTGTTCCTATGTGTAGTAAATTACTTTCTCCATCACTTTGTGTTGTCCTTCTCTATCACGTCATGTTTCATGGATCCTTGAAACCAAAAATTGATTGACGGCAAAGTGTCTGTCAGTGTCCGCATATCTATGGTCAAAGTTTGGTCCGCATATCTATGGTCAATCTAAACTCTTCAGACAATTTTATCAAAATTGATATTCCCCTATCCCCTTATACGAAGTCACATCCTCTGTGAGTTTGAATAATATAATGATTTTTTCCTTAATCAAATCTGCTGTTTGAAACCAGATCTTGAAATAAGGTCATGTACAATTTGTCAATAATATGAGTGTTTTTGCGTAAGTTTGCATGAATTGTTGGCACTTTTAAAATTTTTTAACAACTATTTTCTCAAAAAATAGTTCTGATTTTTTTCTTTAAATTTGCCCCCTTATGTATCAGAGGATGGTATATTGCTGTCCCATTTTGGTGAAATCTCTATTTTCAAAAACTGCAAGAAATTCCAAAAAATTAAACATTCCAAAACCAAAATATTGAAGAAATAGATTTTTGTCTTAAACAAAATCTATTCTAAAAAATCAGATCTTTTTAAAAGATCAGGTACAATTTTTTGAAGAAGAAAAAAGTAGTAGTTTTTGACAAAATTTCCACTTGAAGTTAATGCAATTATTAAAAAAATTTCTCATAAACCGCTCCAATTAAATTCTTTTACAACTTTTCAAAATTGCAAGTTAAAAACAATGCAAGAGAATATGTGCTGTTGTAGCTACACACAGTATAGAGAAAGTGTTGTAATGCGGAGGCAAAAATCAGGGGGGGTTTTGACAGAAAATCTTAAATTTCAGGCTCTGGTAGCAAAGTGGATAAGTCGTGTTTGTTTCCGAATGTATTAAATTACTTCCTCTAACACATGTAGTCAGAATTCTTGTTACCTCGGTTGGTCAGTTAGTCACGACAATGCCTATCTCTAAATGGTTTAGACGTTTTCCCCAAAATTGATATTCCAAGAACTTGTAGATGTTAATACAAGGGGTACTTTTCACGACACCTCATAATAGCCAAAAATAGTTTTTGTGATTAAACTTTGTCCTCTGGTAGCGTAAGCGAACAGTGAAACAGTTTGAAAACCATTTGAAAATTGAAAAAGTTCAAAATATTTTTCGGACACATCTCCAACTACAATACTGAAGATACAGATTATTTCCTTAATGAAATCTGTTGTTGAAAGACAGATCTTAAAATAAGGTCATGTGCAATTTTTCAAAAATAATAATAGTTTTTGAGTAATTTTGCGTGAAGTATAGCCAAGTTTTAAACTAGGTTGTTTTCTTTTTTTTTCTTTTTAAAAACAGCTTTCATTTTTTCTTTAAATTTTCTCCTCATTTGTATCAAAGAATTGTATAATAATTGGTGCTTGTTCCCTTTATTGGGAACTCCGTCTTTTTGAAAATTGCAATAAGGTAACATTGCAGAAGTGCAATATTCTAGATAGAGTAGTAATGTTTGATGATCATGAAATTGTTACAGAATAACGTGGGCTACCTCAGCCAAATATCTGTTGATAAAAATACCATCGAGTAATATTTATTCATTATTTTCTAAAAAGTAGTGAAAGAGGCTGAAGCCTTTACTCCAAATTGAAAACTGTTTTATTGGTGCCAATGTTGGTCTTGCATGGAAAGCTGATGTTTACGCGATGCCATTTAATTCTATTTTTTTGATACAGCCTAATATATATATCTGTGCGTGTTTGTGATTATTGTTGTTAAAAATATCAATGTAATATTTAAATGTATTCATGTTTACAGGATTTATGAAATTGAAAAGAAAATAAGAACTCCCGGCAAATTTTGTTTTCCTGCTTTTGAAACTACCAACTGGTATGCTGCTCGAGCATTATTGGAAGAAATGAGAGAGTTAAATAATCAAGGCAGGATGTTGCCTAGTTATCTCTTGATAGGAGTAAAGGCTCTCATTTTAACGCTGAAGCAGTGGAATCAAGATAAAGATGTGAGTTGATTCTTCTGTTAATGTTTAATGAGCTTTTAGTGTAAAAGTTATTATTCTTCTGCCTTTGTTCTTTTCTTTAGTTTAATAAGAGTAGGAGAGAACAAATTCCAGAGGACATAGAAGGCCCGAAGTTACTGAAAGATTTAAGTAAGGAAGTGCGACATGCTGAAAGATTTTTGAACTCTTTGAATCCTCCGAAACCAGAACGAGAGTCTAAGCGTAAGAAGAAAAAGCCTGTTAACGCTGATTTTGTTGATTTTACTGAACCTCAGAATATGGCAGATCCTGTAAGTTACAAATTATAAATAAATTAAGTTTGTGTGATAGTGCAACTTTATTTTCTTTACAAATTATGTATTTCTTTAATTTGGACAGTTCCTTATTGTCCAAGATCTAAAGTCAGTCCATCAGGATTTTTAAAGTTGACTAGTGTAATAAATAATAATAATAATAATAATAATAATAATAATAATAATAATAATAATAATAATATTTTCACAGAATAATCAATATAACAATAATGTATATAATATTCAAGTATAGAGTGAATAGGAGAAGAATAAAACAGTTTTATAGTTACAGAATGCTTTGTTTTGTTTTGTAATTTACTGTATGTAGTGTAATATAATTCCTTGTATTCCATATGTGCAATTCTCTCTGAATAGTCTGTGAAAACAGATGTTTTAAAAGTTCTTGCTGGTGTTTGTTGTTTTATTATTATTATTAGTAGTAGTAGTAGTAGTAGTAGTAGTAGTATTAAAGTTATTTTCATAATATGTTCATGTAGTATTGAGGTATCTTTTTAATGTGCATCTCAAATTTTTATGTTTTTGTACTGCCAAGGGCCTCAGTATAGTTTATAATTTTCCATGCTTTTTCCTTTACTTTAATTTGTTTTAAGTTTCTTTTCATTCATGGTTTATCGTGCTTCTCAATGTTATTTTTCTCAGGAGCTAGCTAATTAATGACATGAAATATTCATGACTCCCATCCCATCAAAATATCTTTCAATAAAATATTTTCCATATCCAAGTAGTTGACATTTTGCAGTTTTCCAATTAGGTCTTTAAATTTGAAATGGATATATGATTTTTGGAGGTACTCACATGAAGCCACAACTTTTCCAAAATTTTCTAATAGCTCCATATTTGTTCTTTAAATTATTTCCACCAATAGAGCAAAAGATGCAAAGATCACAGCTTCATTAAATGCCTTAAATTTTCAAAAATTGTAAAATTTCAAACAAAAAATTTTGGCATTATTTACAACTGCAATAATGAAGGTAATCATTTTTTATTAATGAAATTTGTTCATTAAAAACAGATCTTGAAATAGTCATGAACAATTTTTTGAAAATATGAGTAGGTTTTTGCATAATATGTAAGAAAAAAAGTCTCCCCGTCCCAAAAAAGCTTCAAATTCTTTTTTGTCTATATTTTCCTCACATGTTGCAAAAATGATACTGAATATGAAGTTGCTTCCACTTTCAGGAAACTCTCTATGTCTCCTTGCTTCTGCTTTGATCTTCATTTATTTCCACAGTACATTTTGATCCCTTTCAGTGAAGCATGGTTCCTTTTTCTTTCAATTTGCTTGCATTTTAGCAATGAAGTCAAATAGCATGGGAATTGATTTCACTTTGTGTGCACTTTCTGTGGAAAATGTCAGTGTGCGAGATTTCAGTTGTAAATAACTTACCTCAGTTGGTGATCTGCCAAATACTGCAACTAATTCTCTTACAGCTGTCAGATGACAATGAGTCAGCTGTTTGTTTCTGGCATTAAATACAAATTTGTGATCTCTGATTTTCAGTGTTTTTTAACAAGAAATATCTATGAAACCAAATATATCAATATACACAATTGTGTGAAAAATGAGTATTACATGGAAATCTAAACACTGGTAATGTTTTCTAATGGTCGGTGCTCGCCCCGCATCAGTCACAGTACACAGGACGTGCTCTGGCTTATAGATACCCTCGCACCCAGCATCTTCCAAATCTTAATTGAAATTGAATTTTTGCATATGAATGTATGTAACAAATATGAATGTCTTTCGGCTTTGTTAGTCATTTGCTTCATTATTTATGTGTTGCTTCGTTGTGTTTATCAAGAGTGCTTTGAATTTTGTAGCTTACAAGGAAGCATCCATGTGTGGGAAATGTGAAATGAAGTAAAGACTTGGCATGAAGGTAGTCCCCATTGCAAAATTTACTAATTCATATTCATAGGGCTCAATAACCATGCATTTTGAAGAAAAACACATAAAATATCTCCAGCTATCAGGTGGCTATGCTAGGCCTGTCAGACCCTGCCAAGTTGACACATGATGCAGTGTCTAGCAAGCAGCGAATATTCCTTGTTTATAAGCCAGCTGCTTGAGTTTTTTTTTCTGTTTCCTGGACACACCTTAAAAGTAAATTCTCCTTTATCCCATTAGTTCAACAAACACATTTTTCTAAACATTTTATATTAAAAACTGTATGCAAAATTTTATTTATAAAATCGTAAACAGTAGAGAAATCAACAGTTGTGGAGATTGCGTAAAAATGTGTTTGGTTATTTTCCATGGACACATGCAGATGCAAACTTTCATTTAAAATTCATTCATTTAATATGCTGTTCTGTTAGTTACTGTTAGTATGCTGTAATATAATTGTGTCAAAATTAATTTTCATTCCATCTGCAATGATTAACTCAGTAGTTGTGTTAATAAAAAACCTTTCTAACACTTTAAACATTTTTATTTGTACATATTTGTATTTGAATAAAATTATGGATTTTTGTTTGCCATTGATAATGCACAAAATTGCTGCATTGGTAAATAACCATTCGTCATTACTATTTTTGTTTATACAAATGAGTTTCCCACATTAGAAACTTTAAAAGATGAAATCAACTCAGTCGCATCACTTGTTCCTTCATTTATTTCACTCCATTGCAGTAATGGTCAGGACTACTATCTGAAAGCATTCAAAATCTCCCTGATAATACAGATTGCAAGAAGAGCATTCCTCTCATTTACAGCTCAATTTACAATAAAATGTGATTCATGACCCTTCTTTGTCGCTTCCTTTCGCAGCTTCATATTATGTTCTCTCAGATCTGATTCTCTTGTAAATGTGTCAAATTGGGGTAACCTGTAGTACCCATGCACAATCTTGCAGATCTCCACAATTTTTCTTTCTTTCCCCCTCTGCTGTAATGTCAATTCAGATATCTCATGACACCTCTTCTTCCACATGACATTCAAAGATATTCTCTTGGATTTTTGTGACTTGCCTTTGCATTTTTTTCTAAATGGAGAATGTCTTTTCAGAAGTGAGGGAGCATATCATATTTTCCATATCATTTGTAATGGTTATTTAACATTGTAATATTGCTACTTGAATACTGCTAATAGTTCAGCCTTCTCTTGAGGAACTCCTAACCGAACAATAATTGGAAGAATAAAATAATGCATACCTTTAATTTTGAGAACTCAATAGTTTTCATGAATATATTACTTCTACTGTTTAATCAACCAGTGGACTTTTAAACAAGTTATAACGAAATTCTTGTGTAACTTCTGAATGAGTGTAAATGTCATGATCTTGATATTATGTGATATGAGATAGGTATTTTCAAAAAGTCCGAAGTTATTTTTTTAATTGTGTACATTCTCCAAAACAAAAGTATATTTTTATTAATAAAATGTTGCATACTGTCATATGAATTGTCTTGTGACCCAATTTCAGCTTCCCACTGGCAAAATTCTTCAGTGCGAAATTAGACACGCATTTCCAAGCAAGAACATAAATTCCAAATGATTAATTCTGCATTTCAAAGCAATAGACTGATTTCACAGTTTAATTTTTTGCTTCATTTAAGAAATAGATACTCCTAAATTGATCTCGAATACTTAAACCAAATGTCCCAGTCGGCAGTATTTTTAATCTCCAAATTTGTATATTAGTTTGTTTTTGCTTAAAGAAAGAAACTATTTAAATTCATTTCAGTTTTTCTTTCATGTTGGTGTAAATTGCATTCTTACTTAAAGATGCTTGACATTTGTTAGTGTACAATTTGGCTCTCTGATATGTTCATTGTTTCTCAATAGCATGGTTTGGGTGGTGAATTTCTTATTCCTACATCAATTTACATATTTTCCATTTTACAGTGTTAATATTTGTCAGCTTAAATAAATATACTGTTGCATGCTGTTAAACTGTATACTGTTGTTTTATTTTTGAACACATATAGTTACCTTACCTTAATAATGTTACTGCATGATAACTTGCATATCTGATTGATAATTAGAACTTTGTTATGATGTAATGATTTTGTAATAATGTTGCAACATTAGACTAATATTGTCTTCAATTTATTGTTTCAGTACGATACTCCTGCGCCTTTGAAATTAACTATTAGAACTGTGCCCAAAACAGTCAGGAAAGCTGCAGCATCACCTAGTGTGCCATCTAGACCACCGTTAAAATTAACTCTGCCAAAGCCTGCTACATACCCATATAGTACTAATGTTTTGGCAGACGAAGCAAACAATAAAAATTTGAAACAAGAGAATGCTGTTTTAAGTGAAAACATAGATAAGATTCCCAAGAAACCTTGGTCATCTCTTCTTGGAGACCAAAGCCTTCTGAAGAACAAGCACAACGAACTGAAACTGAGGTTATCTAAGCATTATAATACGAAAAAGTAAAGAATATAATCTTCTAATACATTTTGAAGCTTAGTGTATTGTAGCTTAGTGTATTTAGATATTAATGTGAATATTAGAAAGTTTAAATGTTTTGATTTGTTTTCTAGTGCGAAAAAAATATGTATCTGATTATTAAATGAATTCTTGCTTATTGTTATAATTTCTGTTGTAGTTCTAAAAATGCTGGACATCCTGTAAAGAATGAATCTATATATGACTTTCACGATGAAAGCGATGATGAGAAAATGGTTTTTCCAAAATCTCGACTTGGTGGGGATGATGGAAATGATGATGATGATGATGATGATTCTGGTGATCGTCTTATGATTGATGAGAAACCTAAAAAGAGGATTGCCAAAATCAACCCCTTTCGAATGAAAATGGCATTAATATCGGGTAAATTTCTATTCTCATCCTTACATATTCTCTAGAATCACATTTAAATGTAGATTAATTTTTCATTCCACAGACAACATACTAGATCACGTAAAAATCTCAAAAAAATATAAAAAGATGTTTTAAATGGAAAATTATGGGAAGTTTTTGGGTTAAAAGTATTAATGGTTCCCTTCTTTATCCTTTTAGAGTCTTTCTTCTTTCCTTCCTTCAATGGTGTGCAAAGTGATAGGTTATTCCAACACACATAAACATAGAGGAAGTAATGAAAGATTACTTTGGAGAGATTATTACATTTTTGTATTTACTTTTCCTTATCTGGTACTTCAGGTTTTTTTCAGTTTCTACCAGTTTATTCCTCTAGAATTTTTGATAGGGGCGTAAAGGTACAGAAGTAATTGGTAACTGTAGTTTTAACTTGCATTTCAAAAAGAAGTCAATTGAATGTTTCAACTTAAATCAAGATCTCAGTATGGAAATTATATGAATCGATACAGAGCATAAATAAAGTTAAGAAAAGTTTTGCACTCTATTAGTTTTAGTCAATGGTAAAATGTTTGTATTAATATAAATTTTTCTTCTGATAATGAGAAGACTTTGTGAGAGAATACTTTTCAATTTCAGTATCAAAAGAATATATAAGATATAAGTTTTTGCCAGGTAAACTGTAACCAGGTTTGTATGCATTTACATAACTCTTGCTTCCCAGTGTGTTTGTCTCTTGCCATGGGTTACATTATGCACTGCCTTCCATTGATGCATTTTAGGGTAGTGACAATTTAAATCATAAGTTAATTGATTTCTACTTATAAAATGATTACTTTTTGAGTCATTAACCCAACTTTCCTGTCCATTTTGCATCAGAATTTTTGCCAATTGTTTAATTTTTAACAGCATGCTATTTTTAAAAATAAAATAATCTAATTAATTAACATAGTGCAAATGTAGCAAAAATAAATGGAGCGTATGAGAAATTAATTAGATTTGGATTATTATCTCTTAACAAGACAAAACTATATACTGTTTCATCATTGCAACTGCAGAACTAGCTAGAGAATTTTTTTACAAAAATTAGATATTTACACCTTAAGAAGCAAGAAACTATTTGGCACTGTTCCTCAAAACAGTGCGTGTGATTCTTGCACAGTCACATTTGTGTAAGTAATGAAGAAAATTTGACAATGTGCTGCAATTGACTTCTGTTGCTATTATTGCCATGAATTATGACCCCTTAAAATTGCATTCATTTCACATGGCTGTTTTTACAGATGCAATGATATAACAATATGCAATACCATTAGTAACTAAGTGGCACATCAGTTACGCTGCAAAGTATTTTAACTATAAACATTAGTAATATTAATTTACATGAAAAATAGAAATGTTTCCTCAAATTAGTATAAATGCATAAAATTTAAGTTTATTATGATTATAAAAAAGAATGTATCTGTGAATATATGTGTGTATGTTTATTCCATAAAACCTTTTGCCCCATCAGAGCAATTACATCCAAATCACAGTTTTTAGCTGCTGAGGAAAAATTGGGGGAGGGGGGGGGAGGCAGTTGGAAATGTTACCAAAAAGGTGTTATACAACTAGTTAAATGCAATTCATTCATGGCATTTTGGGGTAATGTGGGACCAAGTGGAACCAGATGGTCAGGAAGAGCAAAAGGATGAGGGAGAGGGAAAGGTAGAAAAAGAGTGAGTGGAGCCCAGGGAGGGGGACTAGAAGGCAGAGCTGTAAATTAAGACCCAGACAGATTCAGACCCAATCAGATTATATTAGCAGAATATTTAACCCTCTTTCAGTAAACCTTTATTTTGTTATGTAGTAGACTTATCCTGAAGTCAGACACCCTACTATTATTTTCTATTTGATATGAAGACCACCAGGGGAAAACAATAAGTTATATTTCCACTTCTTTCCAGGAGAGCATTTTTAAACTTTAAAACGCTCTTAACCAATCCCATTTTGTAAAAGTTAGTTTGGCACATAAACCACAATCGTACACATCAGCACAAGCAGAGTGAACAAAACAGAACAAAACCCAAGCACTAATTTACAGAAAACGGAAAACAGTTGGAGTTAACAACATTACAGAAAAAACTCTGTGAGCTTGTGAACATGTTTTATTGTGACTTGTCTTGTTATTCCACTGTTCACATTAGTTTTCAAGAGGTAAATCTCTGATCTGAACAGGCTTTTACAACTTCTGACAAATTCATGTTATAGTACACCTTTTCATCCACCAGGTTGCATTAAAATCATGAAATCAACCATTTTGTTACTTATGTTCTTCCCCTGTATTCTTCATATATTTATGAAAGGGTATATTGTGAAGCAGCTGTGTGACAATATTTCTGGAAGGGTTTATTTATATTAAATTCATATTAATATAAGAAGTTGTTGAATATAATGATGACATCCCATCTTTTAAACTTCGGATTTAAAACTAAATGTATGCATTTATAACAGTGATTTGCATTGCCAATTGCAACAGTCATACAATCATGAAGAGACAGACACATACAGTTGGAGAGCAGCAAAATTAAATGAGAAATATTGAACCTTCATATAATCAAAAATATATTTGGCAAGATTGCCTTTGTATGAATGACCACAATTAAAAGTAAACTTCATTTTCTTAATGAATTACTTTTAATAATTTTTATTTATTAATTGAGTATTCTAATAAAATTTAATAGTTTTCTAATAGTATATACTTATATTTCATCAATATAATAATTGTATACCTAAAAAGTAATTTATTAACAAATGTCTTCATGAAAGATATTTTTTTTAAATTTTAAAATGTGATTACTTTTCAAAAATAATTATATTTTCCGTCACTAGGCATTTTAATTTCTATATCGTATAAAGCTTATTATTATGAGCTAAAACAACATATCTGTGTATTTTTCTATGTATTGTTGAGTCTAACATGCTCTCAACACTAGGCTGACAAGTCCTCTTTAAAAAATTGAGAAAAGTATTATACAGGACTTGTGTTAAAATCTAGAATTAATGAGTGCATACAACTTTTAATACTGACCTAGTAAGAGGTATTGGCCCAAGCTTGGTGTTATTTGCTGGATTCCCTGAGCAGAGATGACCTCAGTTCAGGTTTATCCTGATAAAGGGATTAAATATTTACTTTATAAATAATGTTTTTGTGATTGGTGTTCAAGGAATGACTCAATTACACTTGAAATGTGAATTTTTTTGTTGCTACTAGTGAAATTGGCAGTGTTTTTCTTCTTTTTTTTTTTTGCATTTGCATTTATGTTTTAGAAGGACCAAAAAATGGTATAGATGAACTTTTAAAAGCATCAGGATACACTGTGGGTGATGCTGGAGACCCAAATATGAGATTAGATGATATAGAGTAAGTTTGATTCTTTTAAATTAAATGTTAGTACATTTTGAAATTAGAATATTTTAAATTGTAGGTGCAACATTGAAAAAATAAAATAGCATAATACTTTTGGAAGTGTTGGAAACATTAATGCAACTTAAAAATGATATTAGGAATTAAATATTTTAAAATTAGAATGGTTTTAGCATGAAATACTAGTAGTAGAATTTCTAACAATTATCGGTAAATACAGAATAGCTTCAGACAGTTAAGTAAAATGCAGTTAAATAAAATCTTCATTGGAGAGTAATTCTAGATAACTAATAATTAATTCACAAAGTGTTTAGTTTGTGGGATTTGGTTAGGCACATAAAAAAATTTTAAAAGGAATAAAAAAACAACAATTAAAAAACTAACTTTTCCAACATTTCCAAAAATGCTATTGCATCTTGGCTATGACAGGATGTGCATGTCGGGAGACGTAAACATAAATTCCCATGCATAGTTAAACATCAGATTCTGTTCAGTCTCAAAGATGATATCATGGCATGATTTCAACTGGTATAAGGTGAGTTTTTTCATTAAGACCTAGAACAAAAGTCACATCAGCGTATTCCACATAAAATTTGTGTTTAGCTGTTAATGTCCTGTAGAGGGAAATTGGCATCGGAGCTGTTAGTCCCCGGGGTTTCTAGTCGGTCGCCCAACCAGGAACCCACAATGTCTTGAATTCACTGAACCTTTGCCACTTCATGTAGATAACAAATTCAGCCAGCAACCCTGGTTTCACAGTCATGGACATACAGTCGACCCATCCCTGCGTTTGCCTGAATGACCAAGGGAAACTATGAATACCTCGGTCAGGATGGCCAGCACAGGGATTGAATCCAGGCCTCTCAAATGCAAAGTCAGCATGGTACACACTGAACCACTTTGCTTGGTCCACGTATTTGTAATTAACAAATTCCTTTACTGCTTTGACCTCAGAAACATAGATTCTATAGAAAGTGTTCTTTGCAATTTTCCAATTTCATTGCCACCCATATGTCACCATTACTTTGTATTTCTAAAACTTGAAGTGCTGTTGTGGGCTTGATTTGCATTATTTTGCAATGAGTGCACTGCAATTTTGAAACTTGGCTGGCAAGATGGACCATAATACAGAGCTGTTGTAATATGCACCACAAGTCTGTCAAACTTATATTTGCATTTTTTGTCATTTTTATTTTTAAAACATGACATCGATGTTTTTAATCTTAGAAATATCTTTAGTGCTTTGAGTCCCTTTGTAAACATTCTTCTGAACATTATAGAAGTAGAAAAATCAAGAAGATGCAATAGCAAAAGATGCAGCAACGAAACATTTCTCAGGAAAATGACATTGTAAACATTTGTTCATGTAATTGAGAAGAGGAGATGTGCTTTTTTCCCCCTAATTACTACAGAGTGTTTCTAAATGTGTGTTCATTAATGTGCAAGCATGCTCTGGACAGCAAAACAGCAAAAAGCTCGTATGAACATGGGTCCGCAAATCCTTTGTTAGGAAGTTATAAATTATGAAAGTAATTAACTTCAATCTTTCATTTTTTCCACTTTCTTTATTGCAGGTGATCATGGTATTTGTCGTATTGAAAATTAATTTGATCTAATCAAAATGCCCCAAGAATATTGCACAGAGTAGGTCAGGCTAGACAGTGTACTTCTTGGCTGAAAATCTGCATCAGTTAATCCTAGAACACATTGGAGATGGTAAGGGTACATAAGGTCTTAATGAAGAATTTTCCAGATTGTCATGTAACTAATGTCTTCCATTCTCGCAATACTTCTGGTACTAGTTGATGACATTTCATCCACAATATAAACAACTTGTTCCGCAAGTGCACAGTTTCTTATCTCTTGTGGTCTCCCAACATCTGAAACTCTCTTCACCAATGAACCTGTCTCTAACAAGCTTTGGTGGATGTGTGTAAACATTTTTTCAGAAGGTTTCCTTCTAAGGTACCTTTCTGCATAAAGCTGATGTGCTGCTGCCAAATTCCCATCTGCAAGGTCATACATTGTAGTGCATCTCCAACATTTGTGACACCGAATACATCTTGTACTGTGGTGAATGTTCCAGTAAGTATAATAAAACAGAGGAAGATAAAACAACAGAACAAAATAAATGTTGCTATTAAAATCAGAAAAGCCAAACAAATGTCATGATCACATGTAATAAGATAGTGGGGGGAAAATGCAAGTTTGAAGTAAATTACGTTCATAACAAATAACTCCCTAAAAAGACCCATACGAGCTTTCTGTTATTGTGTTTTTTTTTAAAACATTAGGAGCATGCCCACTTACCTTCACTGAATCCCTGCAGGTAATTGACTCGCAGTGATAAGAGGTCTCGAGTCCAGTTTGTGTGATTAGTTGCAGTGTGATCTGTATGTCCAAGAGATTTCATATTGTTGAGTTATATACTTAAAAAGTGCAATACTGAGCAAGTATTCATGCATAATAGTGCATGAAAAATATTTGGTTGGAGCATGGTGAAGCGATTTGTACTACTTGCACGAGAACTACGAATGAAAACACAATTTTAAAATATGTATAAATAATATTCGCAAAAGTGTTAATGGATATACAAGGTGAAAAAAATGTGATTTATAGAAACAAGTATGGCACTTTTGCCATTTTAGTTAAGGTACATCTGAGAGATATCGGTGGTACCATTGGTGTTTGTTTTTTGGTCACAACTGATGACAAGTTAAGTACTAAATAAGTAAATGATGAGCTGAAGAAAAAAAATTTTACTCTTCTGCACTTCAAGGGTTAGGTTGTATAACCTGTTCTGGTGTCTACTTCCTTCTAGGTCTTTCTATATCTCTTCTTCTACATCTAGTCCAGTATTTTTAATAAGTATTTTATTTATTTTTACTAAAGTATTTTAAATATTTTACCTGTTCCATCATTTTTCCATCTTTCAGAATCTTTGTTATCAATAGGTATTTTCCTTATACCCCAGCGTTTTAATTTTTTTCTGTGGATATTTTAAAACCATATTCTATTGCAGTTTGATTTAATCTATATACTGCCCTCTGCATGTTGTCTTCAGTGTCCTGTATTATCACTTTGTCAACTGCATATAAAATGGAGTTTAAAAATGTTTTTTTTTAAATAGATCCCTGGATGTATTTTCAATTTCTGTTATCTAAACATGTTGGCGATATGCAACAGTCCTCTCTTACACCTTTGTTGGCGGGAATCTCTTTAAATTTTCTTTTATGACTAGTTTAATGCTCGTTGTTTCGTATAAGCCTTTTTTTTACCTCTATCTAGTGTGTTGGATACCCCCTCCTCTCCAGTATGTTAATGATTAGGCGTGTTTCACAGTTGCATTCACACCTTTTTTCTATTATTCATTTTATTGTGAAAATTGCATCTGCAGTTGATCTGCTTTTCTAAAGCCTATTTGTTCTTCTGATATAAGATGGTCTGCAATTATTTGTAGTCTTCATTTCTTATTCTCAGATGTATCCAATAGACTTATTCCTCTGTAATTGTTGGGGTCTCCTCGGTTAACTTTCTAATAAAGTGAGATTACTTTTGCTTTTTGCCATTCTGTAAGAGTTTGTTCATTTCTCCAGCACATATTAAAGAAATGAAGCAGGCATAGATGAAATATCATTGCAGAGTATTTTGTAGTTCTGTGTTTGGAGTTTTACATTTTTCAAGTGCTTCCTGTAGTTCATCAATCATTAGGTCATCTGTATTCCTAATTGTACATGTTTTTATCTTTTCACATTTTTTGCCATACCATAATTTTTTAAAAGGATTGAAGTGAATTAAAATTCACCAAAATTTTACTTTCTAGTTTTGTGTTGATTTGATGTTTTATTTGGCATGTGTGAGGATAAAAGGGGATAAGTCAATTTTTTGTCAAGAATGAGTATGCTAGAACATGCCTTACTACAATACAATTGGTTGTGTATAGGGGGATAAGTTGACAAAATTGAAATGTACACAATGATGGTATTGTAGTAAAACAATGTTCTGGCATACTTGTTCTGGACAAAAACTTGATTCACCCCCTTTTCACACGCACCTGCCATTTATATTTTGTCTTAAGAATAATATGTTCCTGACAATCATTTGAATGCCTATTTTAAGGATAGGTATCAAAAGTCACAAATATCAGTGCCACATTTACTGTAATGAGATCATTAATGTTTCTGGAAGTGTGTAATTTTACAATTTAGTAAAACTCCTGTGATGTTATCTATATTGCAATGATAACACGAATGGCCTTTTTGCTTATCACCACTATTATTTTGATGTAGCAACTCTGTATTAATATATTGCAGCATTACTAAGGAACTTTTTTTTATTGGGCCTGAATTGTAATTGCTTTTTTGAAATTTTTCTGTAAATTTGGTAGGTAATTATGCTTGTTATGTATGTTATCATTATACCATTAATAAAATTTATGCATTTATCAAATTTTCCAGATCAGTACAAGCATCGCCTTCAACCAAAGAAGCTATTGCTGGGATGCTGTCCATGTCAATGTCCATAGGTGACACGAATAGTTCGGAAGATTCATCGCCCAAATCAAGAAGCAAGAGGGCGCAATTTTCAGATGATTATGGAGAAAATATTGATAAAGTGCATCAGGATGAGGACTACAGTAAGAAATACTCAATAATAGAATTATACTTTATTTATTTGAATAATGCATGTAGTTGAAGCATTTATTACAGATCTGTGCGTATTATTAAGTTTAAAATTGTAACTGAAATATACATGTGGTGAATAAAAATTTTGTCTATCCTGTTGACAAACATGTAATAATATTCAAATAGTAATTATTAACCTGCAAGCAACTTGTGTGCTAACTGTGATGTGCAAATATTTGAAAAATTCAATTTGTTTTTCACAAACTTTAATTGGAACCTTTTCCTAGAAATTCACCTTCTCAAGTATGAAATTGGTTATGCATTTCCTACCTCCAGTGGCCAAGAAATTGTACTTAGGAGAACTATTAAATTTATTGATATCAGTATATGGAGGCAGGTAACTCAGATTCAAATTAATTGCAGATTGTGATGCAACCTACACTGCTATTTTTGTCATTTCATTTCTTTCTTTATTTCTTTAGAAAATAAACATTTCATAAATGCATTGAAATTTGCTGCAAACTTCATTTTCTTTAATGCCCAATTCAATTATTTTTTTTAATGCAGAAAATTAAATGTTCCACAGTACTTTTTTGCTACAAAATTCTCATTTGCATTCAGATGATGAGTCTTGAGCCTTGGTGATGAGTATTCTCAGATGTAGAGGATAATAATGGATATGTGTACAAAAATGGCAGCACCTAGTAAATTTTATTTTTGGTCCACTATTAAAAATAACACAAATAATTTCCTTTTCAAAAGTGATTATTTCATTAATATTATCATCCTTAATTTATAAGTTGTTCATTTCATTAAAAGTATGTGAATACCTCATGAATCTCATGTGAACATATCTTTGATCTTTCAATAAATATTTAATCTTAATCTAAAGCCTAACAAAGGGGGTAAGAGAGTATGATATTGAAAATGTCCCTGAAATTTGATGCAAATTTTTGGACTGACAAACCTGTTCAAATGCATGTAAAAATGTTGTTTAAACTGTTTTCATCTTCTTTTTATTGCTACCTTTGATCTGTTGTATGTTGCTATTTATTATTTATTCATTCATTCATTCCCTCCCCCCTCCATTATCAGGTTTCCCAGGATTAGAATTTGAGGCTTCATTGAATGACATGCTCTTCGTATTGTTGAGCTGGTAGGAATTGCCTAATGTTAATCTATACTGAAGACATTAGCATTTTTAGTCTAATTCCTGCAAACACTGTATTTTAGAAAATTGCAAAACTTTCACATTTCAAAACTACAGAATTGAAGGTAGGGATTTTTGCTTTCAACACAATCTGTTCTAAAAAATCTTTAAATAAGGTTATGTTCAATTTGCACTTAAAACAAGTAATTTTCACATAATTTTTGCTTGAAAATAGAGGAAAAAACGGCTCCAATTTTTTTCCTCAGTTCGAGTGAAGTATGCCGATGAAAAAGTAGCAGAGCCCGTTTTAATTGAACTCTTTTATTTTTGGAAATTGCAAAAAATTAACATTGCAAAACTGTAATATTGATTAAAGAGAATATTAATGAAATCTGATCTTCAAAATTAGAACTTTAAATATCATGTACAGTTTTTTAAAAATACGAGTCATTTTGTGTGAAAAATCTTTTAAATTGCAAATTTGAATTACCTGTGCTGCTAGTGCCAAAGTCTTTCACAAGTGATCAGGTCGCTATGCAATGGCAACACTGTGGCACCACAGTTTCAGAGATTCACTGTTCTCAACTGCTCATTATTGGTGGATAGTGTTTAATGGAACATGGTTTTGGGTTGTTGAATTTGTGTAGATACATTTGCTTAAAAGAATTTGTTTTCACACTTAAAGCGCTATGATTGGTAATGTGCTTTACAAATGATGTCTGAGGTGTGTTAATATGGACAGAAATTACAGCATTGTTTTACATAACTGTTATTCATGCAAGAAACTATCTGCTCTTGTAGCAGTACTAATTTGATAATATAGAGATAATGCCTAGTTAGCATTAGCATATTCAGGTATCAGTCTAAAATATGTAATATAATTTTTTCCTCTTATTTAATGGAACTATTTTTATTAAAAATAATTTTTAAAAACATTATTATTATACAAAAATTATCCAATATTTGTATGTTAAGTTATTTTTTAAGTAAATACTAAACAGTGGGCATTACTTAATTTCTAGGTTTCATTTAAATTTTAAATTTATTGCACGTATACCTCATTTGATATTTTGACCTCTAACAGGACTTGAACCTTCTCAAAATTCGGGATATTACATCATAAACTTTTATTTTGAAATGTTTATACATTATAAATTAGAAGCAGTGACAACATAGATTCAGTTTGTTGTGTCCTTTTGGGAGCAAATAATGAAATGAAATAGTTCAGTTCATGGGAATCAATTTGAAATTGTTTGCACTTAATTTTCTATTTAGCCAATCATTTAACATTTGTTGTGAGTGTTAAAATTATTTTTTCCATTTTTATTTATTTATTTTGCATTTTAATGTGATTTTTTCTTTTGATTTTTCATTTGTTTAGTCAAAAAGCAGTAAAAACTGTATGTGACATATGGGGGAGAAGTACCATCTTCACACCTTCTTGAGCTCCAGAATCGCTTCCCAACATTTTAACTAAAAATAGTTGAATGATTAATAAAAGTTTCAAAAAAAGCGAAGTAAGCAAGTTTTAAAAACTTCAGTTGACATGTTCATTCCCGAATTATAGAAAACTTATTGGCATCAGTAAATAAACTGTACATTTTTATTAACAAGATAGTAATACACCCCTAGCTCTACTTCTAACACTCCTAGCAAAAGAGGAGCTCAAAAAAACCTACATTGTGAAGCTACATTTATTAGCTTTTAATTGAGTTTTGAGGCTAAGGAAGCTTGAAAATTGTAGAGACTGAAGTATTTAAAGAATAATGGAGTTTTGATGAGTCATTAATATCATTTTCCTGTTGACAAAATAACATATATTGATAAAGGGTGAAACACAAATGTTTTTGTTCTACAGGTTGAAGGTAGTGGTAAAGCGAACCTAAAAGTGTGTTTGTTTATTATTTTGAAGAGTTTTATCTGTCCAGCAAAGTATTACCCCTCCCCTCTCTCTCTCTGGACCATTTTCTGCACTACCATCTTTGTTAACAAGATTGGAAATTTTATGGTTTTTACGACCCTGTTTTTGTTTTGATACTGTGCACGGTTGATAAAAACTGGTAAAAATCCATGATATTAAAGTGTCGTGAATATCTGCTTTGAAATGTACTTTCTCAAACTCTTACATTACCTTACAAAATAAAAGTAAATCTGAATAATGGTGTTCTTACTTACTGCTGCTTGCAACAAAAATCTGAAGCAAGAAAAAAAAAATTAAATGTTTGTCTGGAATTTATCAGGTGTATGGAGAAAGAGGAAAATTGTGAATTGTAGTCAAAAATATAACTCCAGATGTTGATTTGACTAACAGATGTTACAGATGTAAAAGTAAAACCAAAACTGAGAGGTTGAATTTGTAAATGAAAATTAGAAGACAGTGATGGAGAACATGATGAAAACAATGGAAAACTAACAGGCAATTCAGTTTTAATTTGTGTATAGAAATAGAAGAATAATAAAATATTTTAATTACTAACTTATTTTATAGTTAATGTCTCATGATCCAGCTTGAAATATTATTTGGCTTTCAAGAAACCATGGAGTAACTTTCTACTTCAGTATCATGTTTAGTTTTGTTAAATTGTAGTTCTCAACAATACAGGTGCAGTGGATATCATTTATAACACAATTCAAGGGACCAATCAATTTCTTCTTTATAGACTTGTTATAGCCATGCCATGTTAATAATGACCAAAGTTGTTACATCCTGTGCAAACTGTGAGTTAGCTCAGAGACTGCATTGCTGTTGTCTTGAGTGGGAGGTCCTAGGGTTCAAGTCCAGCACAAATTTTAAACTATCTATATAGCTGGTAGAATTCAGCTTCAGTCTGTAGGAGAATTCTAGACACCGACTGCTCTGATCAGTAGTTTTCTGTTGTTTCTCCAATTAATATCAGTCAAATACCAGAGCAATACCGGAACACACTGGCCATAGTCAACACTCAATCTTACCTTTCTCTTTCTTGCTGTATTCTCACCCCTTACTCACATTTACACTTGCTACACTACCAAACATGTCAAGAGACAAATTAGGGGCTTAGCAAATTGTCCTGGCTGGAGAGGTGTCTCTCCAGTAGATTGGTTCCAGATCTCACGAACACCCACCATTCAAGATAAAACATTCACTACAGATATGAAGATCACACTTCGTATAAAGAATTGTCATTTTTTTTGTATATTTTGTTGAATGCTGCTTCACAATTAATACAATTCATAAATTGATATGCCCGGTTTACTCAAACATGTACATTGGATAATCTCCTTCCCCTAAAAAAAGTGTCTAGTGTTTTTCCCATACTCTGCACATGCTTGGATCTGTCAGTCATCAAATCTTGGCTTCCGTCCTCCCACCCAAGTCAGTCCTACCGTAGAACATTAGTAGCTGCCGCATCCATGCTCAAGGTCACCTTAAATATTGGATTTTATCATTTTCTTGCTCACCAAAAGAATGTCAACCAAACACTCTTGTCCAATGCTTAATCTTAAGGGTTCTGAGAGCCAATTCTCGTTATATAAGAACTAATAATTAATTAGAACGCCAAAAATCTACTTGCAAAATGCAATTAGTCACTTTAACAATAGTCATTACAACCATTAAAAATTTGCTATAAGAGCTTTGTGAATTATTGAATCTGGCATTTTTGCCACTTGCCACAAGAACTGAAATGTCATTATAACTGATGTCATAATCACTGTATATAAGAAGTAAAAAAAAAATTAAAATAAATTTGTTTAGTATTTTCTGTGTTTTGTATATTACAGTAGTTACACTTTCTCTATCTTTTGCTGTGGAAATGTCACTGATGTGTTTATGTAAGAACTTGCTATGCATGTAGTATAGTAACAACTTGCCGCTAATTAATGAATCTGTAGACGTTACCCATGGAATAACATATTTCCTTGTATATGTACTAACTGATCTATAGGCGCTTTGCTTTTCTACATTTATGCTGCTTTTGAAATATGTTTTAAGAAGCCTCTTTATTAGTTTTTTTCTTCTTTTTGTTTTGTTTTTTTTTTTCAGTTTACCCTACTTTAGATGCATCTGATGATGAAGATGTTATATTCAAACCTCGAGGGAGGCGTAAGTTAGATGAGGCCTGGAGCCCAAAAGCACGTGTTGGTCCTCTAGTTCCTAAAACTGACAGACCTACCCGAGAAGGTACAAAAAAGCAGTCGGTTGAAAAAGGTCTTGAAGCTGCTGCTGCAAAACGAGCAGGTTTGCCTGTAAGTGTGCTGTAAAGATTTCTTATGGTGAAGATATTCTACTTACTGATATTAAATAAGTTTCTTTGAATTTCGACTGTACTGTGGTAATTTTGAAAACGTCTTTGTGGTTTATTTTCTATTTAAATATTTTGTTTTGTTTTTTCTCACATTTTGTCACTTTTTTGTCGTAATACCATTACATAAATATAGAAGTTTTTTCTAAAATAATGTTGATTTATTTGTACATCTTATTTTGGATGCTCTTTTTCCAAACTGGTTCAGAAAATGGATACAATACAAGCAAAAAGACACGAAAAATAATACAAACATCAAAATACAGAACTAAAGGTGCATGCAAACCTCAGAAATGAAACTTTCGGTAAAAATAAAAAAAACCCAGCCTTCTAGATGGCGTAGTTGTTTAAAATTTTATTATTAAGTTATTAATGTAAATATTTTCAAATTTTATTAAAAGTTAATTATTTTTTATTATATTTAAAGTTAATGAATGTTTGTTTAAAATTTGCATGTCAATCTCACCAGCCAGTTTCGTAGATGAGATGCAGGCATAAATAATTACATATAAATCATGATCAATTAAAAGTAGTAGCATAATTATGTTTTAAAATGTTGAGAAAATTCTAAATATTTAAATAAAACTAAAAAATAAAAGTATTTGTTTTACAATTTTAACATTGACTTCTTTTTAGTCAGACTGGAAAAGTCTGACTATCTCACTGGTAGCTGCTCTGTCATGATGTTTTTCCTGCTAGATAACTGTATGCCTACAGGCAATTGTTTTAATGATAATTTAACACTCAATTTTGGAGTCTGACAGTATTAAGTGCATCTGGAACAGGGTTCGTACAGACTTGGGAAACCTGGAAACGTCAGGGATAAATTGAATGCTGGAGAAGTCATGGAATTTAATGGAAATACCTAAAATTTGTTTTTGTTCAATTAAACATGTTCATGTATGTCATGAAAAATTAATAAATTAAATTTTTCATAAATTAGAAAGTTTTTATTGGCAACATATCATAATTACACATTTTTAATTGTTTTAATGAATTTTGTAATAAACAATATACAAAGATAACCAAATTATTAAATTGTTTGGCATAAAATTTTGAAAAGGTGATTTTACAACAGAAAACTCGTATTGTGGGTCCCTGATACCGATAAAAGGTATAAATCTTGTTCCCATATTTAATAAATTACCTCCTCTAATATGTTATGTCCACACTATCTACATGTTGTGGGGTCCTTGATAGAAAAAATGTTTTACAGCAAAACATCTTGTCTGCAGGGAACACTAACACTTAAACCTTTCAGTCACTTTTCTCCAAAATTGCCACTTTCTGATCATTCTGGCTGAGGTCAAAGCCCTGCAAATTTAATCTCAGTTTTAACTTTCTTGTCTTTATGAAGAAGAGAAAGTATTGTTATCGTGTGCCGGAAAACAGTGAATTTTCGACAGAAATCTCTTATTGTCAGACTCTGGTAATGAAAAAGTGGATAAACCTCATTCTTAAGTACAGTAAATTACTTCCTCTAACACGTAGTGTATCCAGAATCCGTTTTGTACCTTCTTGATATCAAGAAATCGATTGACGGCTAAACGTCTGTCCATCCTTCCATCTGTGGTCAATGCCAGCCCCTGAATCTTTCAGCTCTTTTGGTCCAAAGTTGATATTCCACGATCGATCTGAACGAACTCAAGGCTTTGGGAGTTTCAAATGGATATTTTGATTTTTGAGGGTACTTTACATGAAGCCTTAAAAACATTTTCAAAATTTTCTCAAAAAGGTGTCCAAATTTTTTATTAAACTTTGTCCTCAGGTAGAGTAAGAAACACTTCAAAGAATGGTGCTGGTCTCGTGTTCATTAAAATTCCTGATTTTTTGAAAATTGCCAAAGTGCAAGTTTTTGGAGGCGTCTTCAGAATTTTTTTCCATAATGAAATCTGTTCTTTAAATGTATCTTGAAATAAGGTCATGTTTAATTACATTTTTTAGCATCTGCCCCTAATTTGAAACACAGCATTTCCACAGCGTAGAGGTAAGGCTCATGGCGACTTAACTTGGGGGACCTGAGTTTGCCTCGGTGCAGACATATTTTTTCCCTCGTTGGAAACACTTTTGCTGTTTTTTGTAGTAGTATAATACAGCAGTGGAGTTAGAAATAATGCAAGAAAGTATGTACTGTTGTAGAACAACTGGTTTTATTTTGGAGGATATTTAACATAAAGCCTCAACCATGTTTTCAAAATTTTTCTAAAAAATGTCTCTAACATTTTTTTTTTTTTCTGTATTGTATTACCTCTGATCCTAATAAAATATTTTATCTTGCCAAATGTTTTAGCTAGGAAGACAGCATTCAATACTGGTGCATCAACAAGTTTAAGAGGAATATTTTCTTCAATTTATTGACCATTGAATGTAAATAATTTGTTGATTGTTGAAATTTTGTCTTTTGAAAAGCCTACTTTTCAGATTACTGTACAATAACACATGTATTTTTTAATTTTTTGATATTCAGGGTTTTTACTATTGTGAAACTTGATTAATAATTTGTTTGTGCAGGCACCAAAACGTCCTTATAATAGGAAAAAAATACGTCCTCCAAATGAAATTCTTGCTGCACCCTCCGTATCAAGTGGAGAAGCACCATCACCGAAGAAGCTTGATCCCAAATGTAAGTTGAAAGCAGTAGCAAACTCCAGACATGTCAGGAGATACCATATGAAATGCAGTTGGATTGCCATGGACTGCACCACTTCTCTAATGAAACGATAACAAACATTGATGGAGCATGGGTTGGTTGCAAGCTTCTGAGTAATGAAATTGTTTAATAACATCTTGCTGAGATTCACTGTTCCCCAGAGTGACTAAATATCTTCAGAGGTACAGGACTCTTTGCTTCAGTACCAAGGGGCAACTCCATCCTAGTTGTCGACCCTGCAATAATTTATTGCTTCTTATGAATCTCAGGAAACTTGCAAGTCAGTGTCGACATAACCTGCAACTGTAGCCTCTCTGGCCTCAAACCTGATTACCATAAATTCTCATGGTGCCTTTCAGAGAGCTCAGGATTCTCGTCCAACATGGGATTGTTCTGAAACTAATTAATAGGAAAGTGGAGCACTGTCTGAACATGTGGTCATTGAATGTCACAATTGACCGCCTACGAGTTACCAATAAGATGATTTGTTCCTATCGGAGTCGGCCCGTTCCCCTTCTTTGGCGAGTATTTTGCTGACTAGGATAGGAGTGGAAACATAGTTGCACATCATCCAAAAAGGGCGTAGACCTCAATATATGTTTTGTGAATCAGGAACATATCATCGCCGATCCAGTCTTATTTCTAGGCAGCTCCTCCTTTCCCCGAAGTCTTTCTTTTGGAAGCTGGCCGCTCGGGTACTTCCCTATACTCTTCGATATTCCTGTGCGTTACCTTTCAACACGATGTAAGTATGCAGTTGTCTGGTATGGCCGAGCCAGCAGTCGATTAAAAAAGGCAGCTTCACACATGCGGCATTCGGCGAATCCCGAGCAACCACTCGCCGAATCCCAAGACGAGTTGCTTGCGATTCGCCAAGCGCCGAACATTCAGAATTCACCCTACCCACCGCGTGTCGGTCTTTAGAACACATCAAGGGAACCGAACACATTAGCTGTTAGGGATTGGGCATGTGGTAGCTCGCAGCTTGACGAATGCCGAATGTGTGGAGCCGATCTAAGGTGAGACCGGGGGCAACCGAGGAAAGGTTCAGTGGAAGTTTTTTTGCTTACAATGCGAATCATTTGTTCACACCCTGTTTGTGCGCTTTTCAAAACCTCATCTCTTCATGGCTTGTTCTGCATCCCAAATCTACACCTTATGGCGTCACCTACCTCAATACCAGTTCCTGTCCTTTGTTTCCAGGTAGGAACCTGAAGTCGTCTACCAGGCTTCCGTCCATTCTGCTGACGCCACACCAGAGAGATGCTATAGGTAATGTTAGGGATGCCATCCCAGCCTTTCCCTCTGCCCGGTGAACTGCCCCTGCATCTTCCGGTGAACCAAGCGAGTTCTCCCTCTCGCTCAGTGAGAATCTTTTGTGGTCATCTCAATCTTTGCAGCAGCTGTTGGCTCCTTCAGGGTGAATTCTGTGCTGGCGAGCCTTCAAGGAATTGATCGTTCCCAAGACACCTCATTCTTCTGTTCATTTGGGATCCAGATTCTGTACCACGTAATACTTCACAGTACTCCACAAACGCCTTCTTAGAACAGTCCGAGCTTGCCTCTGCCTGAGAACTTTGACTAACACATCGCAGCCAAAACATCTTAAATTTGAGACGCTTGTCGGCTTACCATACCACATCTGGTAGAGAGTTCAAGTCAAGAGTGCTGGTAGGTAACCTACAGCTTTATTCGTTCAGGAGCTTTCCGGTTGCAAACAAAACATATCTCCCTCTTGAATGAAGTTCTAAAAAATGGTATGTACATAAATAGGAATCTCGCACACCGTGGAGAAAAACTTACCATGCCACCGCATTTAATAATGCTGGGTGCAGTTACGAGGTGTTACGCAACATCCATCAAGTAAAATTCTGTACATTTACACAAATTGTAATGAAAGGATATCATTATTTTTAATGAAAATTAAATCCACATTTTCAGTTTGAAAACGTGCTTTCATTCATTTATTTGAATGTTTAGCAATCAAAATTATTAATATGAGTGTTAAAACATCAGTTCTGTTCGATTGGTCTGACCCATTGAAGATTTGTTGGTTAGGCTTCAGGCGATAGTTCGACAAAGGGGCGTTATCTTGCTCTTCAACACCCTGACTGCCGAGCTGACTGATTATCGGAAAGGAAACACTTGGCTGCCTCCCAGTGTAGCCTCAGTTTGACCAAGAAAGCCGTTAATCCCCATTTCGCATCAGAAAAGTAGACAAACTGAATCTTTTTTTCAAGGCTCAATGCGTCATCGACTGGAACAAAATCTCGACTTCTACTCTGAACCTCGCATTCAACCACCCTTCCTCTCCATTGCATCTCGTGTGGATTTACAAGACTTTGGTTTAGCCAGGATGCGTCGAACATTGCGCTGTTATAAATGCCAGAGTTTGGGCCATTCTGTCCGGCACTGCATGTCTGTTCACCACGTGTTTGCCAAGTGTGGTGGAATGAACCCTGAGGAAATATCCTGTTCCTCATCTTCCATTGCGTAAACTGCAGTAGTAAGCATGCAGTTTAATCAGTGATTTATCTACACCAAACAGGGAGATTCATAAAATCCGGCTGACCGGCAAATGGCAAAATCCCATTTCATTTCTGGTAGCAAGAAGGTCATGCCAGGTAAAAATCTAGATCTGTCTAGAAATATTTATACTGTGCTATGTCACTACAAGAAAGCTGCAACGAGCATTCAAACGGAACCTGCTGCTTTTGTATTGTCACACGCCAAATTTAGATGTTCTCCTTAGACATCTCCATGGAAGAAACTTAATAACTTCAAATAGCAAAGATTATAATGCATAAAAATGAAATGCCATCAAACATTTCTATCGAGTGGGTGCCGGAAGGTCCGTTTGCAAGCAATCCTTACTCATTGGGACAATTGCACAACAGATAGCAATGTTGTGTCCCCATTTAATGTCCTACGTGTTCTGACTGCAAGCCTGAATTATTATCAATTTCTATTAACACAGCCAGCACGGATTCTGTAGCAATAGCATTCCCATAATAGCTCTGACATGCCTTGGCAAGCATCTGCAGTAAGGGCAGATATTGTTTTGGCCACCCATGAGCATGAATTGACATGTAGGATATATCCAAGTTTAAGTTCTTCCAACCATTTTTTGTGGGTGTATCTATTTTTTTGTCATAAACCTTAGAGTGTAATGTACAATACTGTTAATTATTATACACATCTGTATTTTTCTCTTTGTGCATATATTAAAAGTTTGTTAATTGTGAAGTTAGTGTTAATCATTCCCTTTTTCTTTTTTCCAGTGAGGAAGCCACGAAAAGGAATGGCAACACCTAAACAGAGACTAGGAAAGATATTAAAGATTCATAAAATGAAATTTTAACATTTCAGGGTGTACTGAAATCTACAAGTGATCTGTTGAGTAAGGATGTAAAGACTGTGATACTTAAATTATTCTTTATATTTTTAAGTAAATGTTTAGTGTTTTTATATATTTTACTTTGTGAAATTGTTAGTGTGTTTAAGAAAAAAAATGACATTAAATAAAATCTTACATATGTGAGTAGTTGAATGGACAAAAACCAAAATTACTTTCATGTTCTTGGTACATTGCTGTGAGATTAAGAAACAAAATAAGTTATCTTAGTCCACAGTGTTGTCTTGGAATCAAAAGGTGTAGTTAGGTATTCAGAGAAAGTCTATATTATTGGATGTTTGTTTTCAGTTTCGAAAATATTCATTTTCGAGGTTTTTGATTCAGATTTTTGTAAACTGGGTCTCAAAAGTGTCATATTTCAAGGAATCTTTTCTCATTTCTTTTGCCATTTATGAGAAAAGGGACTTCATGTGAGGACAAGGTATTCTCAGAAAACTGCCTGACTGTACCTGTTTTAAAACCTTTCAAGGGGGTTAAGTGTTCTGTTGAGCTATTGTAACCAATGGTACAATAAATACATGAACCTGTAACATTCAGGATAAATTATTTTACTTGTAGAATTGTGTTATAGCTTAAAATTTGGATTTAAACTGTTTAAAGATTTAATGTTTGAAACTTTAAATGAGTAATATTAAAACACTGTCATTTGTATTATAAGTCCACAGACATATTTCTTGGTCACATAACCCCTTGCTTTGTATTTATGAATGATTTTTCTCAATTTGCATGTATTATTTATATTAAATTTCATGTGAAATGAAATGGTAAGAGAAATGTGTAGATGTTATCATTTTCCTATCCTCATTTCTTTTCCTTCCCAATTCTGTGAATGTTTGTTTGTTTTATTGTACTAACTTTTTTATTATATTACATTAAATAACATCACATTCATTTTGTTAAGAGTTCCCAACCTGGGGTGTGGATACTCCTAGATGTATACAGGGAACCAGTTGGGGGTAAACAAAAATAATTTCAATTATGGCATGTAACAACAAAATAAAACACACAAAGAAAATGACGTTATTCAGGCCAGAAACAAATAATATGACCCCATCCACCTCTGCTTCAGATCATTGAACTTGTGCAGAGCCACTGGTAAACTACTGATGAGTGCAGGAAGCCCTTCCATGCCTAATTGATCCCTTGTAACACATGCTGAGAAGGCAAGTATCATATAGAAAAATATTCACGCACTGTACTAATTGTGTAATCTGTAATATGTGTTATTGCATGTGTGTGCACATGAACATGTGAACCCATGTGTGTGAAAGTCTTTAAATAGCTCAAAATAGCTGCTATTTTTTTTTATATATGTTACAAAATCAAATCTATGATTAAGAAATGAATCTTGTATAAAAAAGTGACCAGTGTGAAGTTTTTGAGATTAGTTTATATTGGAAAATATTCTGTTGTCAGAAAGCCAAATCTAGTATTTTTTGGGACTTGGGAGTCAGTTAGGCACAACTTTCCTATAACAAAAATACCATACTATTGGATTTCTAAACTCTTCTATGGTTTTGCCTTTAAAAATAATAATGATCATGCCATCAGAGCATCAGTGAATGTTGAGTATGAAAAATTTTATAACAAATCTTTGAAATATACTATACTTTTCACCAACAAAGCTTGTTAAAACCAACTGCGTTCTCATTCTGTGTATTACTTATATCAAAAATAAATTTATAAGTAAACTTAGAGCTGCACCAGACTGAAGATTATATTTATATTCTTTTTAACCTCGACTAGAGGTGCTCCAGAGGCACATAGTTTCTTGCATTATTGGATACAGTTGTGTAATATTGCTATTTCTGACCACCGTAGGTGAGCCTGTAACTTGAAAAATGCAACTCACACAAAGCGCCTGTTGTGGATATTGCATTTATTTCAATAGCCAAGAACATTAGTCATTACTTACTACTACAAATGAAACAAACATGAATAAATTTATCTGTCAAAGTATGTATGGCATGTACAGAATAGCACGTATAATTTCACACAAGCTTGCCTTCACTACATCAAAGTGAGCTTCCAATTGAATATAAGCGATCAAAACTTTTTAAGGTAAAAGAGGTGCGTTTGTTAGTTCTAAGTTAAATCTTTTACAGTCCTTAAATCTGTTTCCTTTCATAAGAATATTATCTGCATCGTACGATCGTCGTGACCGTAAATGAATACAATTACAGGAATTTTATATAGCCGTAACGCCGTATAGTCTGCTCTGAAAATGCTTCAAATGAACAGCAGGAAATTCGAAGTGCTAATTTGAAAAACTGAGGTCGAAAATGGGCCCAGCACAACTTTCTTTATCATACATACATGGAACGAATTGAAAGAAAATATTTGTTTAAAATTTAAAAATTGGCTATTTTCACTCAAAGACTACTATTTTTGAAAAATTGAACATAACCTCATTTCAAGACAAATTTTGAACTTAAGCAATTTTTACAAATACAGGAAGTGCAACAAAAATGCGAGACCTACGCATCTTTTGCACCCTTAAAGGAAGAACTTGGAAATTTTTGAGAAAATTTGGACAATGTTGAGGCTTCATTTGTACCACCACCACTTAAATATGTGTATACTGCTTTTCATGTTGTGAAAGCACAATGTGTCTTTTAGAGAACCCGCGCGTTGTTTCCAACACGCTTGCTCGGTCACTCGAGAATCGTCAAATTCACGGCTACCTTTCTCAATATGTATCCATCTACTGAAAAAAAAGTTTATTCGCTCACCTATTATTATTATTATTATTATTATTATTATTATTATTATTATTATAGAAGATTTTTTTATTCGCGAATGTAGGAATGTATGGGATCCTTTACAGGTATTATCTTGTAAAACGAAAAAAAATGTTTTCGTTATTGTTGATTGTGCCGTCAAAAATTGATTAATTAGTTTACACAATAAAAAATACACCGCGAACAACGTTTATCCAACTTTCATTGAAATACCCTGTTTCTTTCCTCATTTCTAAACTGTTGAATTTTTCGTAGATATGATTTCTTTCTACCAGAGCCTTTTTTCTCAATTTTCAGATTCAAATTCCATGTTTATCAATAAGCAGTAAATTGTAGAATATTTTAAATTTGGTAAATGTTTATCAATAACGTCTTTCATTACACACACAATTGTTGCAGGGACATTTTGCAAAGAGAAAGGTATGGCATTTGCGACGTACCGTAGGTATGAAATCGACGTTGTTCCCTTCCCTTCTCTTTTAGTGTCTATACTTCCGTTAATTTTGTTTTCTCCTAGTTGTTATTTCTCCATTTTCATTTTCCTTTTTCATCATAAGGAAGGAAAGTCTGCTGATGGCAGTTGCTCTGCAAATTTATTCACACGATTGACTATGTTGTTTGATGTTTTCCTTTTAAGTTTTCGAATATTTTTAATTTTGTTTCATCCCTATTAATTATTTCGCGCTTTTTCCTGCGATTCATTTTGATATCTTAATATTAATACACTACACGATCGACTAAATTACGTACCTACTCCGTGTTACCATTTATTAACACCACTCTTTACCTTCACTCTCATTCACCAGCAAAAATTGACTGACCACAATATCCAGCAAGATGAAATTCACGAAAGGGCTTTTCACGATCATTCAAGTATTGTATAGGAGTCGAGATTTTGGATAGTCCCTTCTGTTGATAACGTTATATAAACAAACACTACCTTTCAGCTCTACAGGTCACACATTCTGCATCTGTGTCTTCTTTTCGTCGCGTATCCGTCATCATCTGACGTCGCGCGCGCCTAGACTTCAAAACAAGCGACAAATTTACAGAAGTCATGTATCCGAAGAACTTCGTGTGATGACTGAAAATAACTTTTTTTTTCAAAACTTCGTCGCAAGAAGTTTTTAATTGGACTTCATGAACGAAAATATCCCAGTGACGATATATTCTAATCAGTGTTGCCAGATAGTTGAAAAGTGAATATCGTACTGCGCCATCTATTATTACAGTACAACTATCGTACGGTGGTAATATCAAATTATCGTACATTAATAAAAATAGTGTAAAAAATATCATACGTTTTGATGATTTTTTTAACATACTACTTAAATTATTTTCTTTAACGACACACTTCTAATGGAGAATGAATGCAGCGGGGATACAATTAATATAATATAGAGATTCTTATAACCTTAAATTTTATAAATATGTATGCATACATTTAATATATAACAAATCAAAATAATATTTTTTTTATTTACTGGATCATACACTGAGTCGAACTGATTATACCGCACAACTTTTACTAGATTGAAAACTCCAATAATAAATTTACCGAAATCATAGTAGTAAATATATAGTGGCGTTTCAATTGAACAGAAGGATTATTAGTAATTTAGAATCTCTCTGACGTCACTTATATAATAATGACATCCCTTAAAATATAAAAATGACAACATAACAAACATTAACACAACTTTCTATTTAAGAGGATGTCGAAGGCAAATACGAAGTTTGAATTCTATAAATTGGCGCCAAAATAATATTTCTGGAATAACAACCGGAATGTATCCCTCCATTAAAACACGTGGTCCGGGGCTACTGAGCTGCCACCGCGGGCTGGATGTTGGCGATCTCGAATTCATCTCAATTCATTGCACAATACCCTTCTTTCGCTATGTGAAGGTTGCACAAGGCATGGAACAAGGTTGCTTGATCATTCGGGATATAAAGCATAGCACTCGTAGGGATAATAACGCTTTCACTCGGCATATTATTTCTAAAAGTTGTTCAAAAAATTGTCGATAAGATGACACGAAACTTTTGCACACCACAAAAACGCGAGCTGGTCTTGTCTCGCATATAGTGATTATTATTACGTGTAAATCAAATATTGGTACAGCACTGCAGTAATCTATCACTGATATAACATGAAGTGTAATCGTTACTTACTTGAAAAGAAAAAAAAAATCGTTTCTTCTGAATCTGACTAAGGCTTTATCGTCAATCAATTGCTGCTTCTTATTCTTCTTGCGTAATGAATTGAACGCGAGTAAAATAACAGTTGTTTCGCAACATCGTGGGATTTTCTTACGAATGTTTTACAATTTAAGACGTCGACGGCAATGGAGATGATAGTTCATGGGACTTGGTAAAAAATGGACTAATACACTCAATCGACACGTAACGTACACACTCACATACCCACAATTTTAAAAATTGAACTTGACACTATAATGGGAGTATCTTTTACGCTCATTCATTCTGCACAACTAAAATAGTTTCATTACACTATAATCACACTATTACGCGATCCGCCATTATATCGAAACTATTACTTCTCGTAGTATTTCATCGTTTACCCATCTCAATTGAAGTAGCATGCATCACGTAATGTAAATGTACATGTATTTGGAACGCTCCCTCTGATTTTCTATTATATTCTACAAACATTTACTTGAATTTTACGAAACTATCTTATTACGCGTGTACTTAAAAATGTTCGAGGAAGAATGTGTATGCGAGGATGGCATGGCATAGCCATTTCATTCTTTCGTTAGATGGGGAATAAGTTACTCTGATATTATATAAATTATAAAATTAAAAACAAACATGTTCAATAATTTATTATATTGAGTTATGAGTCACAAATTCTAATTACATTT